TTCCTTGCTCTCCATGTAGGAAACTTTGCCCTCACCCAGGGCACTTCTGTATTAGTCTCATGTGATCCTGGCATCAATCCTTTCAGGTAAATAGGATGGGTGATGTCACCTCCGTTTTTGAGGGAAGGAAATTGAAAGACTGAAGTGGAGGAATTTACTGAGAGGCTCATGCTTGGGCTTCCCAATGTCCAATTGCTCTTTGCCCTCCTTCTGTGCACTCTGTGGCCAAGCTGTCCACGTCAGAAGACCTGGGCTTGATTCCATGCTTGTGGTTCACCAGCTCTTTGACCTTGGGTCCCAACTTCCACGAGACCATTTTCCCATGTATAAAAATAGAAATGATCATGTCTGCTTTATGGGGTTATGGGTGTTAAATGAAATTAACTTATTAAATGTAATGATAATTCTTTAACATTGTAATTTAGAAAGTGTTGGACCATTAGGAGGGATATTCACATACTTTTTCACTGGATCCTTACAATACTGCCTGAGTTCCTGAGTTTATGAAACTGAGATTCACCCCTGGTGCTAGATGAATGACCCTGAGACAGGGCAAGCTGTTCCTTGCAGTCACCCAGGTGGTCAGAAGCAGAACGAGTCCACAATTCTGTCTCTGGACTTCTGGTCCCGTGTGCATTCTCTTAGATTTCTGCTTCCCAGAATCCAATGAACTTGGGTCCTGTACAATTTAAATAAGGGGTCTTCAAATATCATCAAAACAAACATCAAAATCCCTCTTGGCTAAAAATGTCTCTTAGCAGGCGTGGCAAGGGTGAGAAACTCTGAGATTCATGCCCGTCTGACCAGGGAATCCGTACAGCACATCATTCATTCCTTGGTGCTGACTTCTGGTTCTCAGACTGTTGGGTTCCGACAATCTGCGGTTCTTTTGGAGGGAGCATGACTTTCCCTGAGCGGCTTTTAAAACACTCTCCCTGCCCTATCAAACTAGAAACGTGTGGTCCACCTTCCCTGGCCTGAACCAAGTGTTTCGCCAAAGGGCCAAGGCAGGTGAGTATTACAGTGAAAGACAGCAAGGGCTTCCTGACTCCACGCTTTTACCTCCGATTTTAGAGTCTTCCTGTTCAGGTGTTGCCTGCTCTTGTACAGGGCTCAGATTTCCATCCCACCAATTGAGAGGAGGCTGCCAAGGGCTCATCTAATTAATATTTGGGGTTGGCATTGCATTTTGTAAGGAGGTAGAAGGGGTTTCCTTTTTCACCTCGAACTTTTTTCCGATCATAGAGGAGAAGGCAGGCATTGTACTGCAAAACTGCCCTCAGCTCTTGCCAGTCCGGCCCTTTTATTTCCAAAAGTAGCCTTGTTTTGGCCTTCACTTCTTCATGAGCCCTGAAGCCAACATCCCTCACCTGCTGTCCCCGGTGCGGCAGGTGCTGCGTGGCACCAGAAGAAGGGGGGTGGGGGGGTGAAGAGCAGCTGAGTCCATGTGTGAGCGCCCCAGGAGCCAGGAATAATGTGGGATTAGCATGGGTAATGGAACAGACAGGAACAAATGAGGTGTTTGCAATGGAAAAGGCTTGACAAGGCTTACCTAGGAAGGAAAGATCTGTTTCTGCCCCAGGATGCAGACCACTCCTGACTACTTTGCACAAGAATGCAGAGAGTTCTGGAAATCTCTCGTTATGTGCTGAGTGTGGGAGTTGCTGGCAGGTATTAGCTTGTGGAAAACTGCCAAAGGGAGGATTCAGGTGGCAGATTTTTAATTATGCTTCTGTTTCTCTACCTTAATCCCCCAGAATCGGGAGGGGATGGGTTGAACAGATCACTGGGAAGCTAGAGGGAGTCCGATCCACTGATTAGCTCTGTAACCTGGGGCAAAACAACTCTTCTGTGCCTCAGTTTTCTCATCTGTAAAATGGGGATAACACACTCGCTGGCTGGCTGCGAGGATTAAGAGGGAGTAGACGCAGAAGTACAGACCCCGGTGGCAGGCACACGGTATATTTACTGCTCACTAGATGGTGGTAGCTGTTGGATTTTTACTATGCAGTTCATCCTTTTTTACAAAGGATGCAGGGTTGTATTTAGAATGTGGAATTAGTATTGCAAGCAGGTTTTTGGTATGGGGTGGGGGGAGACTGCATGTTTGAGATAACGGGTGGGAACAGACAGCAAGGAGTGCTATTAATACTTCACCAGCACAGAAGTAGCGTTCGTTTCCTTTATCTTGGCATAAAAAAGAATGCAGGGAGTGTAGTGAGCACAAATAATCTTCTGGAAGTCGGCATGATGGTGCTTAGTGTACCCAGCAAGCTCGCATCTCCCCTACTGTGTGCCAGACAAGCGCAGGTGGCTGGGGCCCCAGCAGAGACTAAGACTCCATCCCTGAGGCTTTTGCCACCAGGCAGGCAAGATACACACATCAGCAAGCAGTTTTGGTGTGGGCTGCGGGACAGGAAGGGCCGTGCTGTGGGCACAGGGTTGGGAAGTACCGCTGAAGTCCCAGAGCCAGCCCCATCTGGTCTGCACACTTATCAGGAGGCATTCGACTTCTTGCGTTGATTTGCAGATTGCCAACATAAATTTTGTGTTTTTTTGTGTGTTTTTTTTTTAAAGATTTTATTTATTTATTTGACAGAGAGACACAGTGAGAGCAGGAACACAAGCAGGGGGAGTGGGAGAGGGAGAAGCAGGCTTCCCGCGGAGCAGGGAGCCCGATGTGGGACTCGATCCCAGGACCCTGGGATCATGACCTGAGCCGAAGGCAGACGCTTAACGACTGAGCCACCCAGGTGCCCATAAATTTTGTTTTAATGAGCAGAAACTTAGAAGACTCTGGAAACCATTCTCCTGGGCATGCAGAGGCACATAAGAGAGCGAGATGGAGTGGCTTTGGTTTGTCTCCTAGCGGAGGGAGGGGACCCCATGTTTCCTGAGTGCCTTCCTATGTGGTAGGAACCTTCTATACTTCTTCCACTGTGTCCTCCTGCCTTTATATAAAAAAATTGATAAGCCTCAGAGTCCTGCACGTGCCCAGGGTCAGAAGCTGTGACCCCAGAAAATCATCCTGAGTCTAACCAAGGATGAGACAGCATTGCACTGCCCCTTGTCCCCATGCCTTACCCTTAAACCTGGCTCCCAGGTGGCAGGTGGGAACTTGTCCTTCATCGGTTGTACGGAGCGAGAGGAAAGAAAAGGTGTCTTTGGGGGAAAGGAAGGTCTGTCTTGCTGGCATGTGCTGGGCTGGAAGCTAACAGGAGCGGTGTTGGCCCCCCCCCCCCCCCCCCTGTTTCCTCTCTGTCCATCTTCCCCTCTGTGAAAGTTCCTGACTTTCTCGCTCTTGTAATAATTCACTCTCCTCTGGCCGCTTAGGTTAGGTGAAGATGTGAGCCTCATGGTCATTTGAGGCACAGACTTTCGTTTTAAACTTTCCTGCAAAAGCATCTGTATTTCTTGGGGAACTCCGGATTTCCAAGGTGGCCCTTACTCCCCAGCCTGCTCAGAATCCTCTGAATGAGGAGTCAAGTTCTGTTTTGTTGCTGCAGCTGGGAGATGTGTTCTTAATGTCCTGGCAGAGATGGTGGAGGGTGTTTGACAACAGAATTCATTTTAGTGCTGGTTACCTTAAAGGCATTTGGTGAGCTGCTGAGGATGAACAGGAAACTCTCACCCCGCGTTTTGGAGAAATGACATCCGCCAGTGGAGACGGGGGGGGGGGGGGGGGCGGGTTCCCTGCAGTGGTTCCCTTTCCATATCTCTGCCTGGGATTTTCTCTTTGGAATTGTCCCCTGAGTGAGTGTCAACATTATGTGTTTAACAGAAGGAAACCAGTAAGACCTGTTTTGTTTTTTTTTTTTTTAAATGGGCAAATGTAATGTGGAGGGTAAGACCTTGAATAGGTATTGGATCCCAAAAGGCAAAAAATAGAATTTCTAGAACCTATTGTTCAGATATTTTTAGATTTCTCCCTGCTAACTTATACTGGGGGGAAAATGTCTATAAATTTCATTCTGTATGATCCCTTTCAGCTCTTATACTACTTGCAAGTACACTTGCTAAAGTGTAAGACTGTCTGAATTGTACATCATATCTTTGTGGTTGAAAAGACAATGATCTATTTCCTGGGCCTCACAGCTAAAATTAGAAGTATATCTCATGGGGCGCCTGGGTGGCTCAGTTGGTTAAGCGACTGCCTTCGGCTCAGGTCATGATCCTGGAGTCTCAGGATCGAGTCCCACATCGGGCTCCCTGCTCGGCAGGGAGTCTGCTTCTCCCTCTGACCCTCTCCCCTCTCATGCTCTCTATCTCTCATTCTCTCTCTCTCAAATAAATAAATAAAAAATCTTTAAAAAAAAAAAAGTATATCTCATGTATGTGCTCTTATAGAATCAAACTACAGTCTATCATTCTTATTAAAAGCTCTTACTTTCCACCCTTATCTCCCTCAAAAATTGTTTTCAGGCCCCATGGAACTGAATATTACCTATACTATAAACATGATTAGGCAATAATAATTAAAAAACCCTTTTGTTGCACATTACTTTTTATAAATAATTTGGAAAGTGTAGGCTTCCAGACCTTGCTAGAAGGTTTCAGAAAATGAGGATATTAGAAATCAAATCTTCAGTCTCTCTGATTCTAACTCCTCATAAGAAATGGAGGCACTGAGAAGGAGGGACTTTACTCAAGGTCATATGGCTGGTCAGGGCCTAGCCAAACTAGGACCCAGGACTCTTAACCTAGGGCAGAGCATACCTTCCTGGAGTCTGTGAAGGAGCTGCAGGGGTGGGGGGATGAGTGGGAAAGATGTTACACCGTCCTTTGAAACAAAGTCATTGGAGCAAAGTCTCCCATGACTTTTAGGGAGTTTGGCTGTTTTTCTGGCTAATATACTTACTATGGCAAGGAGGAGCCTCTAGGGTCATCTTTGTGCCCTCAAAAAGGCTAAGTAGTTTTCTTCTCATTTGGGGGTGACTTGGGGGTACACAGAGTTAATTGCTGATGCTTTTTTTCTTGTCCTGCCCTATAGTTATATCAACATGCCCTCTTTCCTGTTGCTGGAAGTCCTCTTCATTTTCCTGTTTTCTGGAGGTAAGCTTTTTTGGTTAGGGGTAAGGTGTTGAGGGGTTTGGTTTGCTTCACATCATGTCAATTTTAACTTCTAAAAGTCTCTCAAATACATCTGCAACTCTCTACTCCATGGCCACCTGCCTAGTGTGAGCCCTATCATCTCATGCTTGGACCACTGCAGTAATCTCCCGATTGGCCTCCCTGGGTCCACCTGGTTCTGCTCTAGCCCATTGTGCACAGAACAGTCATTTCAAAATGCAAATCTGGGGTGCTGGGCGGCTCAGTTGGCTAGGTGTCTGACTCTTGATTTTGGCTCAGGTCATTTCAGGGTCGTGAGATCAGGGTCCTGAGCCCCACATTGGGCTTCGCACTCAGTGGGAAGTCTGCTGGAGATTCTCTCTCTCCCTCTCCCTCTGCCCACCCCCAAGCTCTCTCTAAAATAAAAAAAATAAATCTTTAAAAAAAAATAATGCAAATCTGATCATGCCTGGACCCCTCTCCACCCCTACCCCCTGCCTAGATTTTTTTAAAATTTACTTGAGGGGGAGAGAGAGAGAGAGCGTGCAAGAGCGAGCAGCAGGGAGGCTCAGAGGGAGAGGGAGAAGCAGAGCAGGGAGCCCAATGTGGGGTTCGATCTCAGGACCTGAGATCATGACCAGAGCAGAAGGCAGCTGCTTAACTGCCTGAGCCACTCAGGCGCCCCTTGCCTAAAATTTTTAAATGATACCTCATTGCTCTTAAGAGACCTTGCTTGATCTGACCTCAGGCCTCCTCTGGTACTCTCTCCCTCTGCGCCAAAGCCCACATTCCTCCAAATCCCGCCCAGCCCCCTTGCTCCCTCCCTGCCTAGGGGTTCTCATAGGTGACCCCTCTGCCTCGATCACCCCCTCACACAACACTGCCACCCCGGCAAACTCCTACTCATCCGTCAGCACCCAGCACAGTTCCTCCAGGTCCCCCAGGTGAGGTCAGTTCCCTTAATACCTGTAGCCCCGGGCACCTCTGCTATGTAGTACTTCTGTGTGAATTTTTAAAAACTTAGTGTCCATCTTCTGTACCAGATAGAAGCTCCACAAGAAAGAGATCCTACATATTGTGTATTCACCACTGTATAATCTCGGCGCCCAGCACCAGGCCTGGCACACAGGAGTGTTCCAGCAGTGCATAGATGAATGAATAACGGAGCAAATCAACTCTTGTTTTTACTCCTCTCCCAAATTCTAGCCTTGTTAAAATGAGGTGGTAGAAAGGAAACAGAGTGTCTTGCAAGTTGCTGTCCTACAAGTAAGAACAAGTGGACAGGGTGTCCCGCCGCCCAAGTCTAGCTCAGGATCCTCTTGTGGTCTGTGAGCCTCTGCTGTGTTGAATCCTGCTGCCACCTGCCTGTTCCCTGGAGCCTGGGGAGATAAGAGAGGCTGGAAGAAGGTGGGTGGTTGCTCAGCACCCCTAGCCCCCCTCTCTAAGCCACGTGGGTAGATGGTGTAACATAGTAGCTTCGTGGTCAGGGGACTGGGGAGCAATGAGATATGTCTGGGGACAGGGCCTGAAGGAGGTCCCCGGAGGCTCAGGCACAGCCCAGGTTCTGCTCTAGCTCATTGCAGAACTTCGCCTTCTGTAGCCCTGTCCAGTTTACAGCGCACTTGACCTGACCGTTCCTGGGTTGGACAGATGAGGCAGGGGGAGGCCCGGTGAGGCTTGTCACTTGCCCAGGGTCGCACAGCTGTTGGTAGCAGAGCTGGGACAAACGTCTTGTCTTCTGACTTCTGGGCTAGCCTCACCACTGGGGGCTCCTCTGAGGGAGGAGAAGGTACAGGAATCATCTGACTAGGCCTCTGCTCTCTTATCTAAAGTGAAAGGGTTTGACTAGATTAGTGATTCTTGCTCCTGCCCACTCCTTAGCCCCACCCATCCCTGCAGGAGATTAAAGTTCTGGAGCCCAGGTAGGTGGCCTCCAGAGACTGGGCTGCTTTGGTAAGAAGAGGAACCAACAGTCACACATTCATCAGCTCCCTGTTCTGTGGGGGAAGCTCTGCAGAGTCCTCAGATCACCTCGTAGGGGAGCAGAGGGGACGTCACCCAAGGTACAAGGAGAGCTCATCTGAAGCCTGGCACCTGCCATAACAGCTGAGCACACGCTATAGAAAGACACATTCACTGAGTGACACCTTTAGTGAGTGGTCTCTGGTCCCAGCCTTCCCCTCAGGGGGAGGCTGCTGGCCTGTCTCCAGCTGGGGAATTTGCTGGTAAGACTTGTAAAAAGGACCAGTGCTTTTCTGGGTTTTTTTGTAGGGTCTTGGAGATTCCTTGGCTCCTGGGCCCTTTGCAGTCATTCATGGGCTTACTCAGGAAACCTTAGTGTGTACGTGCAGTGCACGTAGGCTTTGAGAGTCTGGCAGGAAATGTTCCTGCCCTCGGGAGCTTCTAGAGCAGCTGGGCCGATGGGAGCAGCTCAGCATGATGGGAGGGGGCACGGGTCGCTAAGACCTTGCTCTCAGAACGCAGTGAAGCAGAGAGCCTCTGTGTTCTGGAAGACCAATTTTCTGAATTAGTGAATTTTCGGGTTTTGAAGCATTGCCCAGCCTCTGTCCCAACATGTGCCATTTTTTATGCGAGTGGAAGGGTTTTTTTCTCCCTAAAAATCCAGTCTACAGTCTTTATTTGTAGTTTGTCTTGTTTCTGCCTCTGGTGGCAAAACCGCAGTGGCAGACTGTCAGATTTTTGTCCGATACTCTTGTCTGCGGGGCTAATGGCTGGTTCCGCATTTTGGCCAAGAACCATCCTCTGTGAGTCGAGATTGAGGGAAGGGCCTATCAGGTGAGCAGAAACCGTCCACTGGAAGGTTAGGTGGGGAGAACTGGGAGATACGTTAGTTTGCACTGGTGAGTAGTGAGTGGAGAGGAGCCAGAGAAGATGGGGCTGGGGTGAGCCCAGGGGGTGGCTGACTAAGGGGTGTGTGTCACAAGCAAGAGGCATCCCCACCCCAGACCCTGACTTTTTCTTTTGGTTTTTCCCTCCTAATGACTTTCTTGGCAGTCACAGATCCCCTTGGGCCCAACGTACCTGCCTGGCGTGATTCCCCGCCCCCATTCCCCGTTACCCCCTTTCCCAACAGCCCCCCCACATTTCTTCATCTGCCCCCTGCCTGGCCTGCTCCCCTGCTCTGCCCACCTCACTGTATTTCCTCCTTGCTTACCCACCACACGTGGATATTTATAAAGCTTCTGCGCATGGACTCCTGCTGGTAGCCATCAATCGAGTGCACTTGGCTTTTCAGAATAGCCCTCCAGGTGGCACCCTCATGGCCTTTAGGACTTCCATCACGATTGGCTCGTGTTCAGCAGTCTGGGGCTTCCTTGGCATGTTACCCCTGCTCTCAAGAGTGTTTTTTAAACGTACCATCATTACCATTTTACTGGACATCATATAAGAGAACGAAAGATATACTCACGAACTTCCTATCCCAAAACTTCTTAGCCCTTGTTCATATTAATCGCACTGAACAAATTTATCAGCGTTTACTCATAGCCCTGTCTTTCTGGATATTTGTTATCTCCACCATTCCTCCATCACAAGTAACCCTGAAAGGAGAATCCTGATGTACCTTTTCCCTTCTCTAAAATTGTTCTTCCTTCGAATCCCTTCCCAGGTGCCATACTATAGGGGCAAAGGCTGTAAGCTGCTTTATGACTCTTCATTCATTTGGCCAAATTGTTTTCTAAAAGGGTTCTACCAGTTTTCAGGGCCACCACTGGGAAGGTTTTTCCTGATTTGATCTTTCCCCATTTACATTTAAAGGTAGAAGCTGGTCATTTAATTTCGTAGTTAAAAGGGTATCTTATTGTTTGGGTTAAAAACATTTTGTCACCTGTTCAAACATTTTCCCTTGTGCTTGTCTCTGAATTGTATGTTTATATCCAAGGTTAATTTTTATGGTAAGGTGCTGCACCCCAGAGGGGCACCCAGTTATTATGCCTAACCAGGGGCAAAACTCATCAGAATCACAGGCTCTCTGAATCCCCTTCTATGTATATTTTTAATTTTTTGCTTCAGAATACCCAAACTTAAATACAGAGATACCTGATGAAGCAATTGGAGGGGTTTCTGGTGATTTTTGAGATGCAACGTCCTTAAATTCCTCCACATTCCAGTTTTCCCTTTCACTACCTGTTGGTTCTGGTCACATAATGTGGACAAAGACTCCTCCCCTCTCTGTTTTGTGATGACTGCTTCTGGTGTCTTCTCTCCTAGTACGCCAGTCTCATCCTCTTCAGGAAGTCCACGTAAGCAGGGAGACCATTGGGAAGATTTCAGCGGCCAACAAAAGTAAGCCTACGTGTTAGTCAACCTTCTAGACCCCCATGTTGGCCTCTGCCTGACTCCAGAATGTTCCTGCCCCACTCCCATCTTCCTTTCACACTGTGGCCAGAGTCATTTTCCCCCAACAGGCCTGACCTAGGTCTCCATCCTGGGTGAAAACCTTGGGTAAATCCTTGTTGCTGAATTTCTTGGTCTTGCTCGGGAGTCCTCTGCTATGTGACCACCGTCTCCCCAACCAGCCTCATCTCCCTCCATGTTCCTTCGTCTTCCACCCTTTTCAGCATCCACTCCACCTGCTCAAGCCACACCACCCTGTTCCCAGAGACCCTGCGTGTCCCTCCCTCCCTCTCCCGTGAAATCCCCCTCAGTCACTGCCTTCTGGGTGGTGCCTTCTCGCTGGTGCTTCTCTGACTTCCACTCTCCTACGTCCTGACGTTGAGGTGGTGGGGTGTGGATTCTGTAGCTAGACAGCCTGAGTTTGCTTCCCAGCTCCACCGCTTACTGATACTTTGTCCTTAGGGAGGTTACTGAATTGTCCTGTGTCCTTCTTCCTCATCTCTCCACTGGGAGTAAAAACCATACATCTATTTAGGGGTGGGGTGGGGAGTTAGGGAGCTGATCGCTAAAGGGTCTAGGGTTTCTTTTTGAGGTGATGGAAAATGTCCTGATATGACTATGGCAAGGATGGAATGTATCTGTGAATATACTAAAAGCCACTGAATTATATATTTTACTCTATTATTTTTTTTTAATTAATTTTTTTTGGGGGGGAGAGAGAGAATGCGTGCATGAGTTGGGGAGGGGCAGAGGGAGAGGAAGAGAGAGCATCCCAAGCAGGCTCCGCACTCAGGACAGAGCCCAGTACGGGACCCGGTCTCAACAACGCTGAGATCATGATTGGAGCTGAAATCAAGATGTTTAACCGAGCCACCCAGGTGCCCCCTGAATTGTATACTTTACATGGATGAATTCTTCGGTATGTGAATTGTATCTCAATAAACCTGTTAAAAAAATTAAAAAATAGCAATCTATCTTGGGGTGGTTATAAGAATTAAATTAGCACATATTAAGTGTCAGAGGCAGTGCATGGCATATAGGGAAGACACAGTGCTATCCTCGCTTGAACTCTGGGGTAATGCAGCCTCGTGCACGAGGGTATCTGGCTGGATCCTGGACTAGATCGTGGCCCCCAAGGGCTGAGACCAAGGCTCTTTGGTATCCCTCACTGGTCCAGTAGCCCGTCCTCTTAGGGCTCCATTCGCATTGTTGAGTTAGACTCCTCCGGTATTACAAAGACTTCCACACAAGGGCCTGTTGGTGAGCTTTGTGCCCACTGTGGGGGGCGGGGCGGGGGAGTGAACTTCCTGCTGCAGAGGAGAGCCGCCTCTGGCTGGGACCTTCTCCTGTGGTGTTTTCACCCCAACCCAATCCACCCCAGAGTTGTTTCTGCCTCCACTCTGCTTTAGGACGGAGACCCTCTGGGAACCAGAGGGCAGGGAAGCTGGCTGTCACCCACTGTGTTCCGCTCTCCCCTAGTGATGCAGTGCTCGGCTGCAGTGGACGTCCTGTTTCTGATAGATGGATCGCACAGTGTCGGGAAGCGGAGCTTTGAAAGATCTAAGCACTTTGCCATCATGGTCTGTGACGCTCTGGACATCAACCCTGAGAGGGTGAGTGTAAGTCTTGTCATCTTTGTATTAGGGCATCTATGGTTGCAAGTGACAGAAATCCAGTTCTAAGCAGAAGAGGACATTTACAGGGCGCCTGGGTGGCCCAGTGGGTTGGGCATCCGCTTAAGTAGACCGAGGCCGCCTCGGGGGCTGGGGATTCTCCTTCTCCCTCTGCCCCTTCCCCGGCTCACGAGTGCCCACACTCTTCTCTTTCTGTCTCTCTAAAATAATAAATATATAACTCTTTAAAAAAAGAAGAAGAGGACATTTACTGGCTCGTGGAACAGGAGACCAAGGGGGTGGGTCCTGGTTCTAGGCATGGCAGGATCTAAGGGCTCATTCCATCAGTTTTGTGTTCCTTGGTTGGCTTCCTTCCCACGCAGGCTTTCCTTACATGGAAAATCTGCTCCGCACTGCCCTTCAACCTAGTGATCCCAGTTAAAAGAAAGTGGGTTTCTCTCCCCGCACACACGGCAGAAGGTCCCAGGGAGGGCTCCCATTGGGCAGGCGTAGGTCACATGACAATCCCTTGACCAATCCCCGGAGTCAGAGGGGATAGAGGCTCTGGCCACGTGTGAGTCATGGGCTGATCCACGTTCTCGGTTCCCCACTAGGGAGAGGGGTTTATGGAACAGTGGAGAAGGGAAAGCATACTGACGGACAAAAACTCTACCTCGGAAGACCAGAGTCTCAGTATAAAGTGCAGCTCCCACCCCGTAGGTTCACCTGAGAGGAGCTCCTCCTGCCTGAGTGAATCCAGCCAGTTTCTTCATTTCTTGCTCTTCCTGGCTCTGGAGAGCCGCTCTTAAATAGCAGCAGATTGTGCTGACTGTGGCTCTTGCTGCTAAAAGGGGCATCTTGGGACAACCCAATAGAAAAATGGGCAACGAATACCATTCTCAGAAATCGAAACACAAGTGGCCCTTAGACATATGAAGAGATGCCCAGCCTCACCCACTGTAACAGCACAACTCCCACCAAAATACCATTTTCACTTACTGGATAAGCAAAAATCCAGTTTGGTGACTTGCCCCGGAGGCAGATCTGTAGAAATGGGTTTGCACTGATGGTGGGAGTATAACCTGGTGCAACCTCTAGGAAGGGAATCTGGCAGCGTCTGTCAGAATTACAAAGGCCTGGACCCTGTGACTCAAGAATTCCACCCCAAGGAATTTATTCTGCAGATACTCTCACAGATGCAAAATATCACACAGTTATTCTTTGCAGAGTTGTTTACGATGGTAAAAGATTTCAGGTAATCCAAATGCCCATTCACAGGGGACAGGTGAATTCATTAGGGTGCATTCATAAGGGAAACATGGGGCAGCTGTAGAAAGTGAATGGGGAAGCTCTCTTGGATGGAGGGGCCTCAACCCAGATGAGAGTGAAAAGGTGCAAATGGTATATGTAACGTGTTACTTTTTATGAAAAAGGGTGGTAAAAGGTCTATGTTTGTACTTGGAGAGATCTGTAAAGAGGCTAAGAGCAGTGATTTGCTGTCAAGGGGGAGGCCAGGAACTGAGCAGATGGGGTGCAATCCGGGAGGAGACTCATCCGTTTTACTTTTTTTTTTTGTACTTGATGGATTTTGAACCATGTGAACCTACTCAAAAATCAAAATTTAAGAAGGGTGTTTTGGTCTGAAAAGCCATACTTAACTTGAATTAGAGACTACTTGCAAACAGGTTGCAGAAGGAAGTGGTTTTCTAAGATGACATTCCTGGGTTAATCCCAGAAAAACCTCTAGGACTGAAGAGCAAAAGTGGCTTTTAATGAAAGCCAGATTTTCTCCAGAAAGGCAGGTAATTTGAGGAGAGTGAGCACATCGTCCTGGACCGCAGGCTGTCCGGCACGGCCATCCAAAGACACCGTAGCAGAAACCATTCCATCTGGGCTTGAGCCACCTGGAAGTTCCATCTGTGAAGCCATTGCAGGTCCTCCGAGGGCCGGGGCCAAGGACTGCTGAGTCCCCACCTTCTTCTGCACAGGGTCCTGCTTTTCAAGGGGGGTGTTTCCCCCATGAAATTTCATGAGTTATTTGTGGAGAAAGAGCCATAAAGATCGAACGTTTGATGTTGGCAGTGAGGTAGTGCATGTCCTGAAATGGGTGGCCTGGAGGCCCCGGAGGATGGTAGGTTGGGAGAGAAGAGCTGTGTGGATTATTGGTGAACATTTTACAGATGAAGAAACAGGCTCAGAGAGGCTAAGTAACTGCCTGGGGTCACACAGTAACTGGAGGACACAGCTAAGTGTGGAAGGACTGGGGCTCTTGACGCTCAGCTCAGGACCTGCTCCATTAGGTCCTTTGTCCCTCCCTGTGGGTGGTTCCTGGGTCAGGATGAGGTGACCCTCAGAAGTCACACCCTATCACATGGCAGATGGATAGCTGGCATGGTAGCACTGTGTGTGTGTGTGTGTGTGTGTGTGTGTGTATTTGTGTAAGGAGTGGGTGCTGATGGAACTCACAGTCCGCCAAGAGGGTAAGAAAACCACCACAAAAGACTTCATGGCTGGTGTGTGCTGGTACAGCTGTGTCAACCACAGGTCCCCAGAGTTCAGGGAATTAAAACCCGGTGTTGCCAGACTACATCTAAAATATGGCATTATGTTCCGGAGGCTGATTTTTTAGGTTAGAAATTGGCAAACCAGGCAGTACCCACCCGAAGGAGCCAGAACAGTGAGAGCCCTGGAAACTTCCATAGATGAGGGAAGCTGATTATCATGTTCAGGTGAAAGAGGGTGCAAAGTGGCTCTATTTCATTCAGACAGAATCTGGGCATTCAGAGGGCTCTGTTTGGGCTGGACCTAAGAAAAACTTTCTCGCAGCAAGACTCGTTGAGCAAGGGGGTTGGGGGCGCGGTCTGTTTCAGTGAGTGAGCATGTGGACCTCAAGCCGCTCAGACTTGCTGGAATGCTAGCAAAGGGTGTTTGCAGGAGAGCTGTTAAAGATGGTTCGATCTGATTAGTGCTTCAGGCTTTCTGCTTTTGCTGCTGCATTTCTCTGACTCCTTATTACTCCATGTGCAAGGGATCTGCACCTTATTTTACTTTCTAAAACTTTAGATTTCAAGTCGCTATAAGTTAAGGCTTGTCATGGATGCTCCGTTGTGGAGGTCGATGGAAGGTGTTTGAAGTCTTCCTCCCAGCAATTAAAAGCCGAGAAGTTCACTTCCTGGCTCTAATACAGTGATTGCAGCGGGGAGCAGAGCGATTATAGAGCGGTGAGCAATCTGAGCAGGCTCTCTCCTGAGCATACAGTAAACCGAAGATAAAAGGCAACTGCTTTGCTCCCAAACCACCAATTACATTAAATGCCTTAACCACTGACTCAAGCTATTTCCATCTTGTTTTGTTTTGAAGTTGTAGCCTTCCTGTTTGATTCGAGTAAATACACCCAGCTGCTGCTGGTCTCAAGGGAGTTGTTTTTTTTAACCAAGTAATCATTCACATGGTTCAATTAAAACACATTCAATGCCGAGTGTCCCTACTCACATATTTTCCATCCGCCCAGTTTTCCTACCTGCTTGCTTTTTAAAAAAATTATTATTAATTTATTTATTTGCGAGAGGGAGCGTGCACACACACATGGTAGGGAGGGGCAGAGGGAGAGGGAGAGCGAGTCTCAAGCGGACTCCATGCTGAGTGTGTGGCCCGATGCTGGGCTCAGTACCATGACCCTGAGATCACATCCAGAGCCGAAACTCAGGAGTCAGACATGTAACCGACTGCACCACCCGGGCGCCCCGTCCTTACCTGCTTCCATGAGCATCCTTCCGGAATCGCTTCATGCGAACGAAGGAATATGAAGTATATCATGCTATATGCACTGTTCCATCCCTCGCCTTTTCCTCTTCATGTTATCTTGGAATTCTTTCCATATCTAGGTATATAGGTAACCTGGCCTTAATATAGATCTATATTATTTTTTACAGCTTATGTTCCATCATAAGGATTTCCTGAGGATTAATTAACCAATCCTTTATTGACATTTGATATTACAAATACACTGTGAGCTCGTAAATCCATTATCTCACACATATGGAGGTATATCTGTAGGATAAATTCCCAGTAGCCCTATGTAATTGTAACTTTTTATTTTAAGATTATTTATTTATTAGAGAGAGAGAGCACGAGCCAGGGGGTTGAGGGGAGAAGAGGGAGAAGCAGACTCCCCACTTAGCAGGGAACCTGATGCGGGACTCTATCCCAGGACCCTGGGATCATGACGTGAGCTGAAGGCAGATGCTGAGCTACCCAGGTGCCCCTGCAATCGTAACTTTCAATAAATATTGACAAAGTGCTCTCCATGGATGCAGTAACATTTATGTTCTTACCAGAAATGTTTGAGAACTTGCTAGTTTCCCCTGCAAACATTGTATTTAGCTTTTTGCTACATCTCCGTGTGGTACAGTTAAGCATCTTTTCTCATCCTAAAGAGACATTTGTATTTCCTGTGTGATCACTTTGCCCATTTTTCTATTGTGTTGTTGGTCTTTTACATGTGAATTCCTAGACACTCTTTACATATTGGGAAAACTAACCCTGTACCTCTGACTTGAGCTGCAAACAACGTTTCTGTTTGTCTTCATTTTTTATTGCATTATGGCATGTTTTGCCCTGCAGAACTTTTTTTTTTTTAAGATTTTATTTATTGATTTGGGGGAGAGAGAGCACAAGAAGTGGGAGGATCAGAGGGAGATGGAGAAGCAGCCTCCCCGCTGAGCAGAGAGCCTGACGTGGGGCTCTATCCCAGGCCCCTGGGATCATGACCTGAGCTGAAGGCAGACGCTTAATGACTGAGCCACCCAAGTGTCCCAGAACTTTTCTTTAGTCAGATTTATCAACCTTTTCCTTTATGGCTTCTGGATTTCAAGGCACAGGTCTTTTTCCACTTTGAAGTTATGAAGACATTCAAGTTTTCTTCTGAACTTTCATGGTTACATTCTTACACGTGTAAATCTTGAATCCATTTGTGATTGATCCTCTATTTTGTAGGTGGCTGTTCAGTTGTCCCAGTATCACTTACTGACTGGACCATCTTTACCCCACTCGTTGGAGATGCCACCTTGATCACAAGCTGACTTCAAGGGAGATTTCCAAAGGGTTGTTCCTCAGAATCTCCTGAGCTTCCCTACTGCTGTTTTCCAGTGTCCATCTCACACACACACACACACACACACACACACAAACACACACGACTTAAATTTCTTCCTACTGAAGACTCTCACCAGCTCCTCCTTAGAACTTCCTGTTAAAGCAAGATCCACTGGGCTGTGCTCATTGGGAGCAGACACAGCTGGCCCGGTGGGGCTGAGTGCTTTGATGGTCTCCAAATCACCAAGTCTGTTCAGGGATCAGCAGTGAAGGAGTTCAAGTAGTAGGTAAAAGGCAGCCTTATTGCTGAAATATGAATCACTTGGCCTGTTTGCAATCTTGGCCAGAATTGGGGTTGGTTAAGAGCATAGTAGCGAGAATGCACTTTCTCCAGGGGTTTTGGAGAGCCAGTGATTGGGTACAGGGCGTGGGCCCTCGAGAGGAGGCCTAAATGTGTATAGCCTTTTCTGCTCGAGACAGGCTAGTGTCCTAAGGGCCCAGAAAGTGACTTTATTCAGTTTCCCTTCTCCGGTTTTGGAAGGCATTGGAGTTTCTCAAATGGCCTCCTGAATGAGGAGGCCAAGTCTGTTTGGAATCACCCATGGCTCTGACTCCTTCCCCTGTGCAGGCCCTTCAGCTCCAGTGTTGCATGTCCTCCAGTGTGACTCCGGTCAGGAGAGCTGGCCTTTCCCCAGCATGGCAGGAGCAGGCCTGGAAGGACCGCCCCGCGCCCACCCGTTCACTTCTGCAGCACCCCGGGCTGGGTCGCAGCATGCTGCTGCAGGCCCGCGCTAGCTAAGGAGGCAAGCCATGTAACTGAAGCTTAGTGAGCGCCGGAGGCACAAAGTTCAACAGCCCGGTTCCCCTTCTCACTAGACCTGGGCCAGATCCATGTCCTCTCTGTATTTTAGTTTCTCCAGCAGCTGTGTGAGTATTGATGGCGCCTCTGTGGGTTAAATGAAATAATGTGTGAGATTGCTGAAAACAGTGCCTGCACCTCGGAGGCCTTTGGAAGTGTGACCAGAGACCCTGCCCTAGAGATGCTCACAGCCCAGCCGGGAGAGCTGCCAGAATGTGGGCTGAGCAGTTTGGTGGTTGTCAGTACAGCACATAGGTAGAGTCACTGTTTCCTTCCAGATACTCCTCCCGGTCTTTGGAACCTTCTTTTCAGGGACACTGGAGAAAACCCTGGTACTGGTATTTGTTGAGTGGGCGGGAGGCAGGGTCATTCACCTTTCTTGTCCCTTCTTGTCCCTTAGGAATGTTTGTGACTTGACCTCGCTCTCAGACCCCTGGGCCCTCTGTCTCCTACTGCAGGTCAGAGTGGGAGCACTCCAGTTCAGTTCTACTCCTCGTCTGGAATTCCGCTTGGATTCGTTTTCATCCCAACAGGAAGTGAAGGCAAAAATGAAGAGGATGGTCTTCAGGTATTTATGATCAGATGCCTCCATGGTTAGGATGAAGCCAGGGGCTCTTACAATCGCTCCCTAGAAGGGTGTGATTGGCCCGAGGGAGGGCTGTGGTTTGGCTTCCGGAACCCCAGCTGTACACAGTCTGTAATGAGAATTCCCTTCTCAAGACTGCTCCTTATTATTACATAACAGTGTCCCAGGTGGGAACTTACATGCAAGTTAAAAGAGAAAGTCTATTTGCTGCTATTGTGTGGAGTTGCTAGTTAACCTGGGACCAAGTGGCTAGTGAAGGTTGAGACCCGTCAAGAGCGTGGGGTGGTGGGAAGAACTCTGGCTCTTTCTCCCAGTTCTTTCCCTGGTCACCACTGTGGCTGGGACGGCTCACCATACTTCTTGGAGCCTCGTTTTTGTCTTCTAGAAAGAGTCAGTGTTCTTCTGTTATTAAGAATGCTTTAAAAATTTCTGATCAGCTATTTATGTTGATTGTCCTCCAGTGTGCCTGTTCTAGAGAGCTCATGCACATACATGCCCTATAAATTATGTATGTAGTAGGGTCATAACATTATTCACATCACGAGTCAGCTGATGTGTGTGTATATGCAAATATGCATATGTAAATACACACATTTTGTGTATGTTTTATATACATGTGTATTATATACACACATATATCTTTATATGAAAGTGTGTTATATATGCATGCTACACACACGCGTTTACAAACCCACACGGAAGAAAGCCTTTCCTTCCACTCTGATCTCTGGATCCTCTGTGGTGTCTGCTGCCCCTTTTGTAGGTGTGCCCACTGAAGTCCCACTGATGTCCCACTGATGTCCATGGTCCCAGCCCTTTATAGCCAGCCACCAACTTCAGTTGCAAAGGCCCTAGACTCTGCGGCCCTTTTCCCAGTCACGGGCCTCTGTACATCTGCCAGTGCCCTCAGGAAGCCTGCACTCCCACACTGGGCACAGCAGGAACTTTGGGGGCTCTATAGGCACCCTATACACACCCCCAGTGGCTTCATCTCACAGGCTATTTATCCCAGCCCAGGGGTGCCCTGAGCAGAATGAGAGGCAAGTCAAATGCAAGAAAGTACAAGGGAAAAGAGCACATTGAAATGTTTGTTAAAAATGACGTTAGTGTACACTGGTCTCTCCTAGTTCTTTGGAGCCTTCTACCCCTCCAAGAATGGTTTCCTATAGAGAAACAGTCTTGGGCTCCGATACCCAGAGCAGCCCTTGTTAAAGTGAGATCTTTGGTCAGAAGGTCTGGGTTGGAGTTGCCTAGGGAGTGTGTCAAAAATGCAGGTGCTGTGGTTCCCTCCCAGACCTACTGAATCCCTCTCTGGGCTTAGGATACTTAGACACTAGATACTTAGGATCTGTACTTTTGAAAGGTCTCTCCCACTGCCTCCCTGCCCTATGATTATTATGCACATTAGCCTTTTAAAAGCACCTTATTGACATATAATTTAAATACCATAAAGTTCACACACTTAATAGGGACAGTTCAGTGATTTTGAGTGTATTTTCCAGAGTTATGCAACCACTACTGTAATCTAATTTTAGAACATTTTCATCATCCCAACGAGAAAACTTGTAAACAGACATTTCTCCAGAAAAGATATTTAAATGGTCAATAAGCACTTGAAACGATGCTCAGTGTCCTTAGTCATTAGGGAAATCACATCAAAACTGTAGTGAGCTCCCACTTCACACCCATTCGCAAGGCTAAGATAAATGACAGTAGCAAGTGTCGGCAGGGACGTGGAGAAATTGGAACCCTCATGCACTGCTGGTAGGATTGTAAAATAGTGCAGCAGCTTTGGAAACAGTCTGGCTGGTAAACACAGACTTACCATATGACCCAATGACCCTACTCTGAACGAAGTGAAAATGTATGCCCCTAGAAAAGCTTGTATACTGCTGTTCAGAGTAGCATTGTTTATAATTGCCAAAAAATGGAAACAACACAAATGTCTAGTGAGTGAACAGATAAACCAAATGTGGTATATCCAAACAATGGAATATTATTCAGCCATAAAAAGGAAGGATGACGTGATTCATGCCCCAACATGGATCAACCTTGAAAATAGGATGCTCAGTGAAAGAAGCCAGACACAGAAGACCACATGTTGTATGATGTCATTTATATGAAATGTCTGGAATAGGCAAATCTGTGGAGACAGAAGCAGATTAGTCACTCCCAGGGGTGGTGAGGAGGGGAAATAGGGAGTGACTGCTAATGAGTGTAGGGCTTCTTTTGGGGGCGATGAAATGTTTTGGACTTAGTGGGGATGGTTGCACAACTCTGTGAATATACTAAAAAACCAGGGAATTATATACTTTTAAAAGGGTGAATCTTATGGTATATGAGGTATATAATTATTGATATAACATTTTATTACAAAAACATCTTTGTACCCATTACATGCATGCTAACATCGGCAGAAGAAAAAGTAACCTGTTGGTTTAAGTTTGGGACTGAAAAGTCAAAAATTGGGTGACTTTGATCCCATCGTCTGGCCCTGCTCTCTTCTGAAAACTAAGCAAATTGCAGCAAATTGGTTCAAAAAGGCACTTTAGAGATCATCCAGTATCTGTTCCAGCCCGTTATTTTATGGAAGAGACTACTGAGGCTGAGCAGGAACAGGTGACTTGGCCAGGACCACAGAGGCGGGGGGCTCGTCCAGTAGACCCCACCCAGCTGTCCTTTTCCACCTCTTTCCACCCTCCCCTCCCCTCTCACCCCCTGAAGAGTTGGTTGACCCTCCTCTCAGCTGTGTTGAGAGTCCTAACGAAGGGCTTGAGAGTATTATTCACAACATAGGAAGTCCAGAGACTCAGTAAGGTGCCAGATGAGGACACGGTGGGTGGAGAAAGAAGCCTCTTCATGTGTCTGAACAAGGTCTGCTCTTCTTACGGGGCTGTGCGTGGTTAGTGCTCGTGTGTCCTAGGATGACTGTAAGAGGTAGGAAACAAGGCAAGGAGGCAGTAACTAATTTTTTGGCCACAGTTGCAGGGTCGCTGAGGACACTAAATATTAAGACGTTATTATTAATCAGTACAGAGGAATGTTGGCTGAGTGGGAGTGATGACCTCTCCGGGACTCTACCCTTTTTCTGCAGTGAAATTTTAAAGGCTGGACTGATTGGGACAGCTCTATCCAAACCCCCCAATACTTGCCTTTTTAGACCACAGCGATCCCCTGAAAGTGTGTTTTGAGGTGGCTAAGGAACCGTCCTGACAACCCCTTGTCTCTGCTTTGCAAAAAGAAGTTTAAAAAATACTGCAATCAAGTATTGCATCCTGTGATAAGCATAAAATCAGATAGAGCATGGCCCGCCAAATCTGTTCGGACTGTCCAGAGCTCCTGGCCAACTGACTCTGCAGTGTCCCTCAGTCATTTCCCTAATCTCCCAAGAACTCAACTCTGATTTTCTGTGATTGCATTTTTTTGGATCCCATGCGTAGCTTTGTCAGAGTTTTACTGTATTTAGATAGCTCTCCAGAAATAGCACCACTTCACCTTAACACAAAGCCTTTTATAGCTATCTGTGGTGTCTTTCAAGCCACAGGTAACATTCAAAGATAGCTTTTAGAGGAGTTATAATTACAAAGCATTTGTTTCTTTTTTAACTTATTATTTGGTGTGGGTTTTTTTTTTTGCATAAAGCTGCATTATTTTTCATGTTGATCCTTTTTAATGGTTATATAATAACCCAATGAATTGAACTACCATAGTATATTAAATCATTCTTCTAAAAGGATACATTTACACTGATTCCAAGATTTTTGTCTATTGATTAAAAAAGAGAGAGAAAAAACACCTATAATCAAACCCCTCTACCTGCAGTGAGTTTTCTGATGAATTATTTTTCAGAATCTGTTACATAGATTACCTGCATCAGACTCCCTGGGGCAGAGGAAGCTGATGTGAAATGTAGATTCTCAGCCTGGTCACACACCCACCACCAATTTGGAGTCTGGTGATAGGATCTGAAAATCTCCATTATTCTGCCTCCCAAGAGATTTTTAAACTCTTTGGAATTTGAGACTAACTCAAAAGATAAACTTCTTAGACTAGCACTGTTAGTTAGTTTATCACGGTAACTTATCACTGATGGAGTCCTCACTAGGTACTAGGAGGCACTGTGCAGCCCTTAATCCTCACTACTGTTACTTTCCCTACCTTAACAGGGAAGGAAACTGAGTTTCAGGTTAAGTAACTTTTTTAGTTTACTTGGCTAATAAATTTCAGATCTAATATTTGAGCACCCATGGCTCTGGAGCCCGTGTTCTTAACCCACTTGAGTGGCAAAATGTTTAGATTCTGGAACCCCACCCCACCCCTGCCAAAAAAGGTCCATGCATTGCAATCACAACTCCCCGAGACAGTAGTCAGTCTGTGAGCCTTCGCTTTCAAACTGCTTTAGTCCCATTCGAGAGGAATTGGAAAAATTTTGGAGAGACTCCGGCCTCAGACCTCCGTTGTCTGGAGCCAGACTCTAAGTTAGAAATGCTCCACAGAGTGAGGACCACAGAGGTGGCAGGGTTTTTCCTCATTTCGCAGAGTTCAGAAGTCTGTAGGGATCTCACCTGACCTGCAGAGAGTTCCAGTGGGAAAGGCAGGTTAAGAGCAGAAGTGGAAGGACAGATAGCACAGGCATCTGTGTGCTGAGTGGTAGGAAGGGCAGATGCCCCACAGGCCAGCACAGTTGGGAGCCTGGGCTCCCATGTCTTTGACGCTTGCTTTCTCTCTACCCACATCCAGGAGGCTCACAGGGCACACTGCCAGGGGCATGAAGGCCCAGGGAGCTCCGTGGTCACTGGGGCACCTTGGCTTTTGATGAACAGAGAGCATTGTGACCATTTAGGTAGAATAGTCTAGAGCAGGGGTCAGCAAACTTTTTCAGTGTAGAGCCATAGAGGAAATACTTCAGGCTTTGCCGGCCATGTGGTCTCTGCATAGACAGTACATAATTGAATGAGCATGGCTGTTTCCCAGTGAAATTTTATCTATAACAACTGTCAGTAGACCAGGTTTGGCCCACAGGTTGTAATTTGCCAACCCCTGCAGAGAGAAAGACCACTGGCTTTGGAATCAGCCTGACTGTTTAAACTCCAGTTCTGACCTCCACTAGCTGGGTGAGAGGCAGGCGACTTGAATGTCTGTGTGATGTTATGGTTAAGAACTTGGGTTCTGGAGGTGGAGGGCCCAGGGTTCAAGTCCTGCCTCCATGTTCATGAGCTGTGTGACCTTCGATAAGGCCTTTCCCTGAACTCCCCATATCTCAGAGAGCTATGGTGAGAATTATCGGAGCTTAGTACCTGCACACACACACACACACACACACACACACACACACACACACACACACCCCAAAAAAAAACACGGTCGTGCCTGCCACATGAGAAGTGCTCTGCAAATATTAGCGTTTAGTATTACTGTCCTTTGGGCTGGAGTTTCCTCATCTGTTAAATGAGGGTAATATTAGCACCTTTTACCATAGTTGGAAGGATTACATTCAGTAACAGGAGTAGGTGAAATATTTGGCATGAAGTGGCAACTCAGTGCTAGTATTATCCTTTAGAAACAGGAAACAGTTTGCCTTTCCAGGAACCTTAGAGGAAGACTTCACACACACACACACACACACACACACACACACACACACACGAGCTTTGGTAAAGGTGGCAGTTTTCTCGGAAGCCAAAATCCTCTTGGTTGTCCTCAGTATCTCATGTGTGACCCAGCAGAGCGTGAAGAGGGTTGTGGGTACTTGGTGTGCTCTGTTCCCCTTGGATAAGCCCCTTGCCCAAGCCAGGCTGTGCTCACTAGACCCAGGACTCGGTTGGTGGTGTTCCCCAGCATCTTTGCACACACCCTTTCCCCTGAGGGGTGGCGTCTTCCTCTCCTAATCCATGGACCCACCAAGACCCCTTGAGACACTTACCCTGCTGAGGAGCCTGTTCCTTACAGCTCTTCCCCACAGTGAAGCCCTCCTCAGATCTCTCGTAGTCATCCGTTGATTGATAATTATTATTTGCTGGTAGGTCCTGTTTCTTCAGCTAGACCAATAGTTTGTTGAGGGCTGGGGTCATGTTATGCTTCCTGGTCTCCCTCTCACTATCTTCCCTTTAGAGGGTCCACAGTAAACACCAGTGAGCTGAAAACTGGCTTTCTAATTGATGCAGATGCTGATATCTAGTAGACAGAGAGTCTTCATTCTGGGAGCTATCCACTCTTGTTGACATTTATTAACTTAATGGAGCTCCACAGAGAGAATTGCCCTTAAAGAGCTCACTTAGGACAGAAAGCAGTAAAAGTAAAGAATATTCTGGGCCTGGTCCATAAATCCTTCCAAGCACACTCCTCCTTGCTCTTCCCTCACCTCTCTGCTGAATGGAGAGGTCTTTGAGGACCGAGAGGAAGAGGGAACCACTAAATGAAAGGAGCCTAGAGGGATCTCTGAGGAGCCGCTTGGAGGAGACCAGAGCAGGAGAGATGCCCAGGCAGGAGGGCCACGTCGGGCTTGCATGAGAACGGAGAGTTTTCAGTGTTGCGTTTCAAAAGTGTACACCCATTCACACATGCACATGCACAAGCATTCACACACACACACACAGATTGGCCGCGCCTCCCGTCAGTTGGATGTTTGCACATTAGAAGAATCACCGTAGGGCCCTCTGGGAGGCAGGCATTGCCTTCACTGACACTCAGTGTGATCTGAGAATAATTGTGCACCCCCAAATCTACAGTCTGTGATTAGCACTTCAGAACGACGATCTAACGGTTTTCTCTGTGTGTACAGTTAATATCTGCCGTGATTCCATCAGCCTCAACACTGTTTTTCATGTCAGATGTGTTGCCTCCCACAGAAAGGTTTGGCCTAAAACCCATTGTAGGGAATCACCATTTTCTGCCCACTTGACTCTGAGAGCCGGCAGTTCTCCCCCACCCACCGCCCCAGGATGTGAGTGTCCTACTGTAAGATTTAATTTCAAGCTCAGTGGACCGTCCCTCTAACGAGGCTGTGGTGAGGTGGGACCTCTGTAACGTCCCCTGATCTGGAAGTCGTCCATCAGTTCAGCCTTGCAGCACCCAGCCCTGAGCTGGAAAGTGAGCCAGGAAGGTCTGATCACAGACATGACCCCCCTCAGACCCTCCGATCACTCTTACAGATGCACACGGTGTTCTTCAGCTCAGTGACCTGCTTCCCACCCCCCCACCCCCGCCCCCGGCCATAACAAAAAGGGAATGATACAGATAGGGGGAGGCGGGAGGTGGGTGTTAGACATGCACACAATGAGGGTTGTCAGCCCTGAGCTGTCACCCGAGGCGGGGGGTGGGGTGGGCGCGGGAAGACAGAAGACGTGCCCAGAGAATGACACTATCACGTAACACAACAGAAGTGTGCGGGGTGAACCTTCAGTCCACGGGAAAAGTGCATTTCTACTCTCCAGTGTGGTTCGGGGTGAGAAAGTGCACGTCCCGTGCTGGAATTGTCACTTGGGGCCTCTGCTGGGAGAGCGCAGCTGTCACATCCGTGGGTGACTGACGCTCAACCTTGTTTTCTCCTTCCCTGTGAGCTCAGAGGAGGGCACACAGACACAGGCCTCGCCCTGAAATACCTTCTGCGCAAGGGGTTCCCCGGGGGCAGAAATGCCTCCGTGCCCCAGATCCTGGTCGTCTCCACTGACGGGCGGTCCCAAGGGCAAGTGGCGACACCCGCCGAGCAGCTGAAGGAAAGAGGCGTCACCATATTTGCCGTGGGGGTCCGGTTTCCGAGGTAAGAGCCCGGGTGGCGCTGGGTCGCCCTGCAGACTGTGGAGACTCTTCACAGCCACGGGGCGGGAGGGGATCCGGCCAAACCGCCCTGGTCCTTCCCGGGCTCTGTCTTTTCCTCACTCTGTATGTGGCGCCAGAGCGCAGGGAGCTCGAATCCGAGAGTGCGCGTTGTCTCTGGTCCGAGTACCGGCCTGTCAGCGCCAGAAACCTGACCCAAATTCCTTGGGGCGGAAGTGGAAAGTCACGGACTCCTCTAATTGTACTGGGTGGGTCCGGGGCGGGGTGGTGTCCCCTGGGGTGAGCAGGAGCCAGGGCCTTGAACGCCGTGAAGACCCTTTGTGTCCTCTGCGCGCATCTGCCGTTCCCTCAGTGTGGCCCTCAGAGCGACCTAGAACCGCGGCTGCAGGCAGCGCCCAGCTCCACCCCGGAGAGAAAGACTCCTGTTTCCCGTTTCCAGTTGAATAATCCAAGAAAGGCTTCTCGTTAGGTTGAGTCACAGACCTGCTCCTGAGGCCAGGAGAGTGGGGGTCTGTGGCGGGCCGCTCCTTTCTCCAGACGCTGGGAGGCGCTCTCCACGGGTCCTCACTGCTCCTAACCTTAAAATTGGAGGTGCCTCTGTGGGCCCCTCGTTGTCATGGGTGTTAAGTGAAATGACTCTGGTCCTGGTACTGTGCCCGCACACAGAAATTTCTTTATTAACTTTAGTACATTTTCTATTCTCTCAGTCAATAGATATGCCAGATGCTATTCTAAGTTCTCGGGATGCAGAGACAGTACCAGGTGCCTGCCCTTCACGGAGTTTCCATTCTAGGAAAGGAACTAGATGATAGACTAGTGAATAAACAAGTAATGTCCTTTCAGGTGGAAATAAAGTGCAAAAGAGAAAAAGTAAGGGAGGAGGTTAACAGAGTGATGGGCATTAGCAAGCCCCGCTATTTTGGGGGGGGGGTCTGTCAGGAGTTGACTTCTGAGCAGAAACTTGAGTGAAAGGAGGAGCAAGCCTTCCTGACAGCAGGGAAAAGAACAGTCTAGGCAGGTGGGTGGCAAGCACAAAGGCCCTGAGGCAGTAGCTAGCTTAGTGTGTCCGCCAGGGAGTGTCTGGAAGGCGCAAACATGGGGTGGATTACAAGAAACGGGGCAGAAGAGGTAGGTGGGAGTCAGGTCTAGAGACTCTGTGGGTCAGAGTCAAGACTTAAGAGTTTATTGCGAGTAGATTGGGAATTCTTTCGATGACTTCGAGCTGGGAAATGACATGTATCGACTTACAGTTTTACAAGATGACACTGACTGCCAGGTAGAGAATAGAGGTGGAAGGAGAAGCCATTTTGGGGGACGTGGGGTATCGAGTCAGGCAGCCTTTGGAGCTGCTCACACAAGAGGTAACGGTGGCATGTAGTGGGGAAGCCCTGGGAGCCGCTGAGGAATGGTCGGACCAAGCGTCTGTTCTGAAGGCAGAGCCTTGGAGTGGCCACTGAATGGAACGTGGAAGGAAGAGTCAAGGATTTGGGGTTGAGCCCCACAGGGAAAGGGGGTGTTGTTTCCTGAGATGGGGAGGCCTGGGGAAGAATCAGGGAAGCAGAGTTTTGTTTCAGACCCAAGTTTGAGGTGCAGATGGGACAAAAGCTGAGTCAGCGGCTGGATGTTGGAGTCCGGGGCACAAGAGAGAGAATAGACAGAGATCTTGCACTTGAGGTTGGCATTTACCGCCTGAGGATCACCTAGGGGGTGAGTGCAGAGAGGGAAGACCCCCACGGACCAGCATGTGCAGTACCAAGGGGACATTCCGGGCCACGTCCTGGTGGTGCTGACGGTCGCCACGCCCATCACCATGCTGTTGTGTGTTCCTGGTGGCGAGACCGCCTTACCATGGGCTCTCTGTGTGTCCTCGCATGTGAGGAGATAAATCGGTGAGAGAGGAGACGAGGGTGTTGCCTCCTGGCTCACGTACCCCGCCCCGCCCCCCTCCACCCACCAGTGCTGCATAGACTACCGTGCACATCACAGTTGCCCCGTTTGTCAGTGAGGCTGGAGCCTCCCAGATGGTGGAAATCCATGGCCAGTTCTGGGCTTTCTTCTCTAGCTGCTAGTGGGAGCAGTGCTTCTCAGACCATCTGTGGCGGGGGTCCAGTTTGCCTTGCTTTGTGTGTTAATCCATCGTGGCCTGAGACTTTAGAGAAATACAATACAAATGAACTACTAGGAAAGTAAAGTAAAAAACAAAGACTCTGAGCTCAAATGTTGACTATTTGATTTAAGCAGACCGAAAAGGACTCTTGTCAAGTTGCTGTACAACTAGGTTCTGAGTGTTCGTTCTCAGTGTCTGTGCTTGTCTGGTTCTGGACGAGGGTGAAACAGTATGGGGGCCTGCATCGGCCCACAGACCATACTTTGAGTAGCCCTCACTTAGAGGACTCGAGAAGCCCTGGGTCAGGGGAGGGGACATTGCTCAGCCACAGGAACCATCTGAGGAAGCCCATTGGGTTTCTAGGCTCTCCCGACTCCTCTCACCCAACTGCTGGTCAAAGGCTGGGTCACTGTTGACCAGTGGTTCTCAAAGTGTGTTTCCTGGACCAGCAGCATCAGCAAGTGAGAACGTGTTAGGAACACGCACGATCGGGCCCGACCCCGCTGAATCCAGGACTCTGGGGCGAGGGGCCCCCATCGGCAGTTTATCTGGCCCTCAGTGATTCTGATGCCCCCCCAAAGTTGAGAGCCACTGCTGTGGGCAGGGTGAGGCTCTATATGGGGTTAAAAACCTGCCCCTTTCCTCCTGGTAGTATTCATTGAGCCCCTTCCCTGATTGTTCTCAGCTCTGGCTTTTGTGAAAATGTGCTGCTGGGCTGGGAGAGCGCCCTCTGAACGCCCCCTGTGTGTGCCAGGTGCTGTCCTCATCCTGGAGGGAAGGTCTGGCTTCCATGGCTTCAGAGGAGATTGGGGAGTTTTACATAAGTGAATTTTAGAGATGAATGAAGTTTCGGCCATAATGCCAAACCTTGGTCTGTTTGGATGAATTTCCGATGGGCAAGATTCTGAATGCACTACTGACTACCCTGTCTTCTCGGAAAGCTCTCAGCATCATTTAACGCTTTCCTCACGGCCCAGGTTATCATGCCACTCGCCATTTCTGTCCTGGGCCCTAAGAGCAGTGCCCTCTGGCCCTCAAAGTGTGCTGGCTCCTTCCTCCACACAGCCTCCCGTTGCTGGCCTTTGAGTTCGTACGTCCCCTGTCTCTCATTCTTCAGGATTTTTCTCTGTCACAAGCTGGCCTTGTTTGTTCTCGTCTTGCCGCCACGCACAACCACTTTCCTTCATTTCCTTTCTGGTTATATTTTCCTCATCGGCTCTGGGTGGCGCGGCCAGACCACTACATCCGTGAGGACCGTGTCTCCAATAAGAGCTGCTGGATCTGAGGGCGAGGCTTTCCTCTGAGGAAGCTGGTGAACTCTGGCAGGCACACATTAGGACCCACACTTGAGCATCCTCGGGGTCTTGCTCTGGTTCACTTCTGGACCGTATCTGCAGCCTGGCTGGACTCTGGAGCGGTGGGGCCTCACTGCTGTCCACAAGGAGCCCGTGGTGCAGGGTGTATGGTGTAGGGTGGGCAAGGAGCGGCTCTCACTTCTCCGCTGGGGCCTGGGGACAGGTGGGAGGAGCTGCACACACTGGCCAGTGAGCCGAAGGAGCAGCACGTGTTCATGGCCGAGCAGGTGGAGGATGCCACCAACGGTCTTTTAAGCACCCTCAGCAAGTCTGCTGTCTGCACCGTTGCCTCTCCAGGTAAGGCCTTCCAGGCTGGGAAGGAGTGGTCTTGCCCTTGGTGAAAGTGGGGTGGGGACGGTTCCCCAAGGCCAAAGGTCAAGAGGCTCCCCAGGAAGGTGGAAGGCAAGAGGAACGGGGTCTAGCAGCTTTGGTGCCGGGGTGCTCTGCTCTCTCGACCTCTCTGTGTCAGGCCCTGTGGGCTTTCTCAGCTGGGAACCCTGAGCTTGTCTCTGGGGTAGAGGGGCCCAGGGTTTGGGACCCAGATCAAGGGGGCCCCTGTACCCCTCCGCTCCTCAGGGGGAAGAGGCAGTCAGCTCCCCGACATGGTCAGCTTCAGCTGGGGTGAGGTCCCTGCATTCCTGGTTGTCACCGTCAGGGTCTACCCAGGAGCACGTTATGTAAAAGGAACACACACGTGCAAGGATGTAAAAGCTGTGTGCGGAGGAAATGCTCAGAGCCCGGCCACCCAGCCAATGCTGAGCAGGGGCCCTGCCCCGGTGTGCTCTGCCCTGCAAGAGGCAGAGGGTGGCCAGGGTTGAGGTTGATGGAACCATGGCTAGGGGGAGGAGGCGTAACCCTGTCTTCTCCATCGGTGTGCCCTGCGGACACAGACTGCAAGGTCCAGCCTCACCCCTGTGAGCGCAAGACGCTGGAGACGGTCAGGGAGCTTGTTGGCAGTGCCCCGTGCTGGAGAGGATCCCGGGGGACCGATGCCGTGCTGGCGGCGCTCTGTCCCTTCTCCAGGTTTGTCCTCGTGGTCTGGGGTCAGAGCCGGGGGGCGTGTCTGGGTAGAGATGGAGGCTCACGTGCTGCAGGGAGAACAGCTGTTTGGGGTTTTGGCCTGGAGTGTGACAGGGATCAGACCTGGGAGGGAGACAGGGACAGAGTTGTGGGGTCACAGGGAGGGTCACAGCTACACAGTGGCAGAGTCCTGTAGACACACTGCCCAGGTGCCCGCTGTGAGCGAGGGTGACAGGGTCACAGCTGTTCTGGAAGGCTCATAGATGAGGCAAAGCCAGTACTGTAGGGCCGTGGTCTGGACTTGGGATAGTGGTCTGGTAATTTGGTTCCTCGGAATAGTAGTTTCCATATTTACGGGGTTGAGCAAGGCAGAAGGCTTAAGGTGTTGGTTGAATTCCAGTTGGGGAGGCCATGGGGGATGCAGTGTTCGTCAGAGCTGAGCTCAGGCATTTTAGAGCACCTGCTGCTCGGTGGTCAGCCATTTTCTCGAAAATTCCTGGACTGTCCCTTGGCCCTTCATCCAGACTTCCTGCAGGACAGCAGGTCAGCAACTGGTGATCCCATTCTCTTGCCTTTCCTGGAGAGCCAGGGGTAACGTTTGAACCAGCTGCATCTTTGCCCCTCGGCCTGCCCTCGGTGATGAGCTCAGGAGACACAGCAAAGAAACGGATTGGCTGAGAAGCCATGAGCCATCATGCTGGGCTGATGGGGAGTCCAAAGACTGTCTTGGCAGGGAAGGGCCGTGCCCTGCACATGGGTCAGAAGAAATAGGGCTGTGTCAGAGGCCACTAGAGCCCTCTTCAGAACCCAAGCTTTCAAGTGAAAAGAGGCAGTTCTTTGTTTCCGACTGAACATGTTCCGAGTGCCCACTCTGAGTCAAGCAGCGTGCAGTGAGGAGACAGGTACAGATGCTGCCCCCAAGAAGCTCAGGGTCCAGAAGGGGCGTTGGACAAGAAGACCAGTGACCACCGTCAGGTGTCTCAGGTGCCAGGATGGGGCCTGTCCTCCCTGGGACATCATGGAGAAGGGGCTGCTTGAACAGTCTTGAAAGATGGGGGATCCCAGTGGCACCAGGCAGAGGCGTTTAGAGGTGGGAGCCCCAGGAGAGGCTGATGGGTAGGGTGCACTTCATGGCTTTGTGCTCAGATTCTGGAGTCAGGCTGCTGAACTTCTAATTCCAACATGGCCACTAATGAGTTGGGACCCTCCCACCTCCTTCTTCTACATTTGAAAGGGAGCTAATAATAGTACCTACCCCATAGGGTTGTGGAGAGCAAGCAGAGAATTAATAGGTAGTGTGCACTAATAGGCTTCTGGAACGATGCCTACATATACTAAGCTCTTCATCAGTTCTCTCCAGAAACACTCACTGAGGGGCTCCTATGTGCCCAGCACTGTCTCAGGTCCTGGGGAATTGGCATGAATGTCTCAGAAACAAATCTGCCCTCATGAGCTGATACTCCAGTGGCAGGAGGCAGCAGTAAATACAATGAATGCCTAAAACAAACTGTTAGGTAGTGCTAAGTGCTACAGAGAAGAATGGAATGAAGGGATGGGTCAGGGTGGGGGTGGGGAGGTGGTGGTTGGGAGCAGGGTTGCAATTTTAAATTGAGTGGGCAGGGAAGGCCTTGCACAGAGTCCAGACCTGAGGGAGCCCAGGAGGGAGCCATGTGCACATCCAGGCAAAGTCCTGTGGCCAGTCTCTGCTCCAACAACGCCGATTCCCCGTGCAGGACTGGGAGGGGTCCACAGAGCTTTCTGGGCTAGGACTTGCAGTTTTATGAAGTCACTAGGAGTAGGTGTGGAGAGGGAGAAGATTTCTCTTTAATGAGCTGGCAGCTTGGCAAACTCCTGATTGCAGCAACTCCTTGAGTTTTGTAATTGACTTGGCTTTTATCCCCAGTGGATGTTTTGCTCCAGGGAAGACTCTGCCCTAGAGGTGAGCCTAATTAGCCTGCCCCAGTGGTGGGCAGCCTGGGGGAGTCACACAGCCAGAATCCACTTGCCTAATTCCCACTCTTTCCTGCCCACCCCCCCCCCGCCCCCTGCATGGTGCTAGCCCCGGAAAGTGACTCATAATAGAAAGCTCTTGTCATATATAGTTTTGAGCACAGGTTATTTCCAAATTCTGACATGATAGCCAATTTACATTTTTTAAAACTGTTCCTGGGTAGTTTGAAACATTCCCCTCTGTGTGTGCAGCTAAAAGCTGGGGTAGAATCAAAGAAAACAAGGTGGTCTTTCTTGACCCCTATCTGCATAGGAATCTTATATTAGCTTTTAGCGTCTCAAATAACCTTCTAGGTTTCCGCGTTCCTGTTAAACTTTTGATCTCTACCATTTGCTCCCTTGGGTTATAGCTGGAAGAGAGTGTTCCTAACCCACCCTGCCACCTGCTACAGGACCACCTGCCCAGGTACAGTCTGCCTCTTGGATTCTCTAGCTCTTTCTGGGCCCTGGGACTCAGCTGGCTTCTAAAGGGGCGTTTGCACTCCTAGGGCAGAGGGCGGAGTGGGAACCAGCTCTGGGGTGGAGAGACAGGCATTTCAGGGGCAGAGAAGCATGCCCCTACTGCACTCATTCCTCCTTTGCTCAGTGGTATTTTTCACTAAGAAGGGAGTGAAGACTTTGGAATCGCCTTCCCTAACCAGTGCCCCTTGCATTGACAAGAGGCAGAGAAGAGCGCGCATTGAGCACCAGCTTTGCAGATAGAAAGCCTCACATCCAGCACTGAACTCTGGGCCACTTAAGCCTGTTTCCTCCTCTATAAAACAGGGATAATGGTTGTCCCATGCCTGGAATCCCCATTTCCCTGCTCTGTATAATAGGGGGTATCATAAATGGGATCCTAGTGAAGATTCAGTAGGAAATGCCCACAGAAGTGCTTCATCAGCTACGCAATCCCAAGCAAACAGGTGGACTTACCAATACCATTAGGCATCATTCAACCTGTTCCCCAGTGGGCCTCCCTGCTCCTCACCTGGGGGTCCAGTGCATCCCACTGACCTGGGAGCAGAGAAATTATACTCAAGTGTGTTGGCATCAGTCCTTTATGGGTTTGCTTCTCCTGATGAGGCAAGGAGCACATCTCCTGGGAGCAGAGCCAGTGGTCCTTCCTACCGTGGGTCTGGTGATCTCCTTGGCATCCTGTTTTAAAGTTCCCACATTGCTGGCTTCTGAAACACAGGAGACACTGAAAGTTGGGTTGTTTTTGCTCAGCAGTTAAAGTTTGAGCACCTAAGGCTTTGGAACCACAGTGACCTGGGTCTGAGTCCCAGCTCTACTCCTTCCCAGCTACATGATCTTCACGTGACTTTTAGTCCCTGAGCTTCAGTTCCCCCATCCGAAATGAGGGGGCCTTTACAGGACACACCTCATCGGGCAGTGAAATGAGATCCTGCGTGTGTGGTGCTTAGCACAGTACCTAGCACAGAAGAGCTGCTCAGTTAAAGGCCGGTGTTGGTGCTGTTATCGAGCCCCCTGGTTGTTTCCATGAAACACCAGCGGACAGAACAGCAGGCCTGGGTGCTCAGTGAGCCTCAATAATTTCTACCTTCAAAAACTTTAATTTCAGTGATGTGACCACCAAGTAGTATGTCAACATTTTTATGTACAAAGGACAGAAACTGCCACTTCCAGTGGTAACCACACTCAGCTACTTAGTAAGCCCTGTGAATATAAGACACATGAGTTCATCAAGATCCCGTCTGTTCTCGGTAACTCTGGGAGGGAGGTCATGTGGTATTTGCATCTTAGAGGAATTGATATGGAGCTCAGAGATTGACCAGAAGGGATCACAGATAGGTCACTTAAGATGTGGGCTGTGGTTCCCTGGGTAAAATATCTCCTTTGAAAGAGACATTGCCCAGGATTTGGACCTCACATCCAAAAACAAATACTGTCTTCACCTGTTATGGAGTGTTGGCTTCATGCCAGACTTTGTGCTGAGACTTTTCATGGATTAGCTCATGCAATCCACCGTGAACAAGTTCTCATCATCCCTTTTTAGTGGAGGATACTGGGGCTTGCTGTGGCTAATTAAGGTGCCCAAGAGAGTGGAGGAGGCCACATTCGTTCGCTCCAGGAGCCAAAGGCTCCCTCTTTGGCTGTGTCAGCCTGCAGAGGCTGTTAAGAACCACCATGGAGAACTTGAGGAATGGCACCTTCCACACCGTGATGTTCCCTGAGTCTCACAACACCTTTGCAGTCACTGTGATGCTACTGAGATCCTCATCCTTAGTGAGCCTGGGTCCAACACCAGTTCAGTGTCACGGCCACCTCCAGGGCTCCTTGGCAGCCGGGGGTGGTGATGAAGTCATGTCATGCAGTTTCCCAGGGCTGCCATAACAAAGTACCACAGACTGGGGGCTTAAACAGAAATTTACTTTCTCACGGTTGTGGAGGCTGCAAGTCCAAGATCAAGGTGTCGGCCTGTTCCGTTTCTTCTGAGGCCTCTCTGCTCAGCTTGTCGATGGTCGTCTGCTCCTTGCATCCTCACGTGGCCTGCCTTCTGTGCACCTCGCTGGGGTCTCTTCCTCTTCTTATAAGTCACACTGGATTAGGGCCCATCCTATGACCTCATTTAGCCTTAATGAACTCTTTAGTCCTTCTCTCCAAATGCGGTCACATTCCAAGGTACTGAGGGTTAGGACTGATACCTATGGATTTGGAGGGATGCAGTTCAGGTCATAACAGTCCAGGGGCCACTGGCACATCCCCTGTGAGCCTGTAGTTCGCGCAGGGCCTGATAGAGCCCACCACGGCGTGTCCTTTGCACCCCCACTCAGCCTCTCCTTCGTGCACCTCACGCGCTTTCCGTCTCCTTTGCCACAGGTGTGTGGCTAGGTCCCTAGTGGTCCTGGGGGAAAGAGGGAGCTGGGCCCTGGTGGGGCAGGGGGCACCCTGCCGGATTCACACCTCTGGCCAGACCCCTTCATGAGTCTGAGCTGACGTGCTAGGCTGTTAATGGGCATCTCTCTGATAGGCGCTTGTGACTCGCAGCCCTGCCAGAATGGAGGCACATGTGTTCCAGAAGGACGGGACAGGTACCACTGCGTCTGCCCGCCGGCGTTTGGAGGGGAGGCTAACTGTGGTACGTATGCACGGGACTTCTAAGACGGACCGTTGGGGAGCAGTGGAGCCTGGGCTCCCCCGTCCACTTCCCACCCTGCTAGCTCCTAGGTAGAAATGGGCCCTTGAGTTTCAGAGCCACCTCCTTTGCCAGCACACCACTGATCTGATGTTTCATGTGAAATAGCCTCTGAGTGCTCCATGAGTAAGTAACTCCGGTGGGTTGGGGTGCCCTGGGTAGGACAGTGGCTCTTGGCTTACTGGCTTTAGAGTGGGTCACTGCTCCACCTCCGAGTGTTGCTGGGCCCAGTTATAGGCTGACCCCAGTCCGATTCTGAGACCTGGTTCTGGGCAGAGTCTCATCTCCCCTCTCATAGGAAAAGGAGCAAGGGGCCTAAACCCTTTTTGGTTTTAAAGGTATGAGATGAAGCACTGGGTGTTATATGCAAACAATGGATCATGGAACACTACATCAAAAAAAATTTTTTTTTAATTAAAAAAAAAAGGTATGAGATGAAGGTTATAATAGGGTTTATCCTGTAGGGTTGAGGAGAGTTTTAAATAAGGAGCTTGTTAAACAATAACTTTTATATATATATATATATATTTTATTTATCATAAAAAATTTTTAATTACCTAAAAAATCTAGTGCTGGGTCAACTGGAGATGTATATGGAAGAACCAAAACTTGACCCCCTACCTCACAAGCTACACACAAACCAATTTCAGTTGGGTCATAGATCTAAATATAAAAGCCAAAGCAGTGAAGCTTCTGGAAGGAAACAAAGGAGCATATCTTCATGATTTGAGGTAGACACAGATTTCTCAAACAGGATGCAAGAAGTGTAAGGGAAGAAAGTTCTAGGTTACATTTTAATTTTTAAAAAGTGGTCAGATGGAGACCCGGAGGCAGAGCCATGTCTAGTCCCATCTAACTCCGTGAGGTGCTCCCCAGCCCCTGCTGCCTCAGTGTCTCTGGCCTGTCTCCCTCCTGGGAGGGAGATTTCTCCTGCCTGGTAGGGTGGCTGGGCGTCTCGGGTGGGACGGTGACCTGCGTGCTCTTGGGGGCCATAGCGTGACCAAGGGCCGCTGTGATCCTGGCAGCCCCCAAGCTGAGCCTGGAGTGCAGGATCGACGTTCTCTTCCTGCTGGCCAGCTCAGCGGGCACCACCCCGGAGGGCTTCCTGCGGGCCAAGGCCTTCGTGAAGCGGTTTTTGCAGGCGTCGCTGAGCGAGGACTCCCGGGCCCGCGTGGGTGTGGCCTGGTACAGCGGGGAGCTGGCCCTGGCGGTGCCCGTGGGCGAGTACCGGGACGTGCCGGCCCTGCTCAGGAGCCTCGACGGCCTTCCCTTCGGTGGTGGCGCCACTCTGACGGGCCACGCCCTGCAGCAGGCGGCGGACCACGGCTTTGGGAGCACTGCCAGGACGGGCCAGGACCGTCCACGCAGAGTGGTGGTCCTGCTCACCGAGTCACCGTCCCAGGACGAGGTGGCCGGCCCTGCGCGTTACGCGAGGGCCCGAGAGCTGCTCCTGCTGGGAGTGGGCACTGATGCTGTGCGGGCGGAGCTGGAGGAGATCACCGGCAGCCCGAAGCGCGTCCTGGTCCACGCCGGCCCACAGGACCTGTTCCACCGAATCCCTGAGCTGCGGCGGAAGCTGTGCAGCCGGCCGCGGCCAGGTGAGGTCCCAGCGCTCCGCAGCAGTGGGGTTCCTCTTGTAAGAGGTTAACGGGGTATATTTGTCAGAATTAATGAGGCCGTACCGATACATCATTATTTACTAAGGTCCATATGCCTCGTTCAGAGTTCCTTAGTTTTTACTTAGTGACCAAGGATTTTTGGTTTTGTTCTAAGGATTCTGTCTGGGACCCTACATTACAGGTAGTCATCATGTCTTCTTAGGCTCCTCTCGGTTGTCAGATGCTCAGAGATTCCTTGGGCGGGAGTGGTTTTTTATTTATTTTTTCTTTAAGATTTTATTTATTTGACAGCACAAGCAAGGGGAGTGGCAGGCAGAGGGAGAGCAGGGAGGCCAATGCAAGGCTCCATCTCAGGACTCTAGGATCCTGACCTGAGCCAAAGGCAGACATTTAAACGACTGAGCCACCCAGGTGCCCTGGAGTGGTTTTTAAAAACCAGTGAATCCGATCCGCTTACTCCGTGCCTAAACCTTCTCCCTGGCTCCCCTCTGCCGTGGAATAAAACCCGAACTCCTTCCACTGGCCTCTGAGAGCTCCCTGTGGCTGGTGCCTCAGACTTCTCTACAGCCCCTGCGCAGGGTGAAGGTGGGGGGAGTGGCCACTCAGGTCCCCTCCCTGCCTTGGACGCGCCGCCCAGCCCCCAGCTTACACTTACTCCTCAGAGACTGTGACCCCTTCTCCCAGTCTACTTCCGTTGTTGCTCCGTCTCCTAGTACCCTGCTCCCCCCACCCCCCATGCCTGCTCACGGGATTTGTGACTCTATGCTGGTTTCATGGCTGTCTCCCCACAGACCATCAGCCCAGTGAGGGGAGGCATGGACCCACTTTGTCCACTTGGTGTAATTAGCACCTGGAGTATAGTGTGTGGCGCATGGAAGGTGCTCAGTAATGGGATGGATGAGGGTACAGGCGAAGTTCTGTCACAGGGTCCCCAGAGCTCAGTGGCTTACAGATGGTAGGCGTTCATTTTCTCACAGTTCAGAGGTGAGTGGCCTCAGCCCACAGGGTGGCTTGGCTACCTTGTGGTTCCACCTCTAGGTCCGGCGTCACAGTTTCTCAGCCAGCAGGAAGTGGGGAGAAGGGAAGTAGAAGGCAGGTAGCTTCCTTTTGAGGACAGATTTTGGAAACTATACAGTTTCCAACCACATCCAGTCAGAACTTAGACACGTGGCCACACCTATCTGCCAGGGAGTCTGGGAATGTGGTCTAGCCTGGCATTCACGTGTCCTAATATTTTAGGAGAGGGTGGAAGGTGGCTACTGCAGGGGACAGCCTGGCTGGCCCAACCCAGAGCGGTCCCTCTTTTGCTGTCCTGGTCCAGAGGAGGGGCTCTGCTGGGCAGAGCCTGTCCCGAGGCTCAGCTGTGGGTGCCCACAGGCTGCCAGGCACAGTCACTGGACCTGCTCTTCATGTTGGATGCCTCAGCCTCGGTGGGGCCCGAGAACTTCGCCCAGATGCAGAGCTTCGTGAGAAGCCTCATGCTGCCGTTTGACGTGAACCCGGACGTGACGCAGGTCGGCCTGGTGGTGTACGGCAGCCGGGTCCAGACAGCCTTCGGGCTGGACACCCATCTGACCCGTGCCGCGGTGCTGCGGGCCACAAGCCAGGCCCCCTACCTGGGCGGGATGGGCTCGGCAGGCACAGCCTTGCTGCACGTCTATGACAAAGTGATGACAGTCCAGAGGGGCGCCCGGCCTGGTGTCCCCAAAGCCATGGTGCTGCTCACAGGCGGGACGGGGGTGGAGGACGCAGCTGTCCCTATCCAGAAGCTGAGGAACAACGGCGTCTCCGCGTTGGTGGTGGGCGTGGGGCCTGTCCTGAGGGAGGCGCTGAGGAGGCTCGCGGGTCCCCGGGACTCCCTGATCCACGTGGCAAGCTACACAGACCTGAGGTACCACCAGGACGCGCTCCTCGAGTGGATATGTGCAGGTGAGTGGGGGAGTCCACGCCCTTCAGTGTCCCCTCCGGGGGATGGGGGGAGGGGGGGGAGACTCAGCCTGAACCCTCAGGTACATCATTGCAAGGATGGCCAAACTTGAGAATTTTTGCTCCTCATTTGAACAGAAGACCTCATTCAGATACAGATTCCCCCAGGAATCTAAGGACCCGTGTTGACCCTGACCTATGTAGTGAACAGCAGCGCCAGGAACACACACAGCCAGGCCAGCCTGACCCCAAGGCATCCTTTTGCCAGTGACCTCCTTTCTGCCTTTTAAAAAGTGTATTCGTCACAGTAAATGCTGCTGTGTGCACAGCACATTTGAGAGGGAGAGAGTCTCTCTATGCAGAGGGAGAGCTGGGTAGACGTTGGGTCTCTGACCTAGCCAAGCAGTATGGGCCCCCAACCGTGTGCTGATCTCCAACCTGCTGCTTAAGGGCCCACGGGAACGTGTGTGGCCTCACCTCTGTCCTGGGCTTCCTGAGAGGAGGGGGCGCCCTTGGGGCTGACCCCGGCTGGGCCTGCTGGGCACGTTCTCCCCTGTAGAAGCCAAGCGGCCGGTCAGCCTGTGCAAGCCCAGCCCGTGCCTGCATGAGGGCACCTGCATCCTGCAGAACGGGAGCTACCGCTGCGAGTGCCGGGACAGCTGGCAGGGCCCCCACTGTGGGAACCGTAAGTGGGGCGCTCGCTCTGCCTGTGGGAGCTGGGGGTGGGGGGCGGGGCTTGAGACCGCTGAGCCCTAGGGACCCAGCTGAACGCAGGGTCGAGGGCGTTTGCTCAGCGGAAGGCCTCCTGCGATGGTTTGTTCGTTCCAGCACGAAACGTGGTGGGCGCCACCTGCAACCCGGGCGCCGTTCTAGGTGCAGGGAACATAGCGGTGAACAGACGATGAGAAGCTCCGCCCTCCTGGAGCTCCCATGCGGGTGCGGGAGACGCAGCGCATGAGTACAGCCTGTAGTGTGTCCGTGCTAGGCATCGTCGAGAAAAATAGCAGCAGCTGGGGGAGGAGGGTCTCCAGGAAGGCCTGGGCTGGGAGCGCGGTGGAGGCTGAGGGCTGGAAGGCAGGACACGGGCAGGGATGCGGGGAGGTGGGTAGAGGGTGGTGGAGGCTGGGAGGAGTTCGTTTTTGAGCGTTCCTCTCGGTGAAATGGGAGGAACGGCCATCAGCCAAGGGAGGACGGGAGGAGGCGCTGGTGGTTCGAGCAGAGAGTAGTCACGGCCCAGGAGAGATGGAGTCTGAACGGGACAGTCATGCTGGGCAGCATTAAGAGCCCACTGTGGCTCCTGCTTGTGAATTGCCAGTTAGAGGAGCTGGAGGCCAGAAGCAGATGCCCCTTGGAGCCTCGGGTTTTCAGCCGCATGCAGAGCGTGGCTTCCTGAGGCCGGGCGGCGGACCCAAGGGCAAGCAGCCAGGGCCTCTGGTCTGGCACTTCTGCTTGGGCTGGGGAGCAAGGGAGAGACATGCGGGGGCCCACAGGCTGCCCCCTGGTGAGAAGAGGGCTCAGTCACTCCTCCTGTCCTCAAGTTCGCTTCTCTCCCAGGGTCCTTGCGAGGAGACGCCCCCGCAGGAGGGCAGCAGTCCTACGCCTCCCAGCGCCCGCCCAGGAGGCCTGGGCACCCCGGGCGCTGAGGGCACGCCTGTCTCCTCCGGTCTCCCAGGGTCCTCTGAGCTGCCACCTCCCTCTCCTGCCCAACCCACCCGCCCACCCGCCCGCGTCCCTCAGCCCCGGAGAGGAGCTGTCCCAATTGTGGACCATCCTGCTTGGGGACCGCCACTACTGCCGCTGTTGAAAAGCCTTGATGTGTAAGTAAATGTCTTACCTGGGCGTGCCCTGGTGTCCTCTAAGATCAGCTTCCCCCGAGGACAAAGGAGTTTGGAGACTTTCAGTGGCCTGTTGGAAGCTCACTTTGCCCACAACAAATGCTAAACAGAATGTTGCCGGGTCGGTAGTGCTCAGGAGGAGGCATGCACTAGAGTGTCCTTCAGACCCCTGAAGCCACGGCATTTTGAGACTGAAAAACTGTGGACCTTTTCACACATCTTTTCCCAAAGATGTGCGAGTGCATTTGCTTTCAGTTTGAGAAGAGGCTTGAATGGCATTTGTGACCGGATCTGTGGGTGGCAAAGACCTAGAGAGTCCAGACTGGAATGTGACCATGAACCAACTTATTTGACTGTGGGGGAGGGGCCGAGCATGCAGACCAATCCGGTCTCCAGGGGCCCAGTGATGTTGGCCCTGGGTCCTGAGCTACATTCCCTTGGAGGGGCTTCCTTGAGAGATTACTTAGGGGGGCTAATTGTGGGGTGTTTATTGCTTGCTTTTTTTAGTAGGACAAGGAGGAGTGGAATTAAAATAACGGCATAGAGAAACTTAGAGGGTATTGGCTTTTTGAAGCATCGATCTTATGCTGTCTAGGTGGTTTTGCTTTTCATGTCTAGTTTTGAAAGGAGTATTTCCAGAAATGTTGGTTACTTAACAGGACCCATGTGGCAGGAAGGCTCAGCTGGGATATATTTCTGGCAAACTAAGTACTCACCCCTGCAGTCTTTAGGAAACACTTCTTCCCCTTGGTTATGTGGTTTGGATTTGGGTTTTCAGTAGAAACCTTTGCAAAAGAGCTGTAACCTAAATCCAAACACTTTATCGTGACTTTTCTTTTTAATGTAAATAATGTAAATGTTTCACCTGCAAATGTTCAAGGCTACTTTGATTTAAAGTACTGGCAGAGATCATCGGAAGGTACTCTTAGACATTACAAAGGAAAGGTCATTTTCATTCCCTTAGTACCTTTGCTGTGGTAGCAGGTGACATCAGAGCGGGGTCACGTGTCCACCTGGCAGGTGCTGAGAGGTGATGTCAAAGAACTTAAATGAACCTTCCCGTCTTTAAATTGACAGCAGTTTCATCATTTTATACTGTAAGCTCTCTGTCTGGGTCAGGGCTGATGTTTGGACATCCCATCTGAATTGCTTTGACTTAAGAAAAAACAACACACAAATGTGGTGGGCTCTGGACTTACACATTGCAGGCTGTTTCTATTTTTAGGCCCCAGCCCTCGAGCCATTTTTTTTTTTTTTTTTACCTTTTCTATGGAAGGTGCCACTGAATAGTTCAAACCTCTCTGTGCCCCAGGAGCAGCAGAGGGAATTCCTTTCTTTTAAAAGAAACTGGCCTTTAATTACACAAGCAATGTATAAATATGTTCTCCTTGGAAAAATTAGAACACTGCAGATAGGTCATCAGTCTTTTATTTTCTGAATGATCCTGATTCCAGCCAACTTGCTGGATGCTCTAATCCTAATTAATTCTCTTTTCTAGAAAGATAAATAACCAGACTCATCTCTTCCTTTTGATGTTTATACAAGTACTTTTTGTCAGTTTGCATTTTCTAGGACCTCCAGAATAATGTTTTAAAAAGTAGTGGTATCTGTTTCTGGACCTGAAAGGATCCTCCATCATTCTATGTTATTTTCTGTGGATTTCTTTATCAGGTTAGGAATACTTGATTAGGATTATGGAGATGATGTTTTTCACATTTAATCTGTTCATATCATAAATGGCCCATTAGCATATTTTCAGTTGTTGAATCACCTTTGCTTTTTGGATAAACATGATCTGGTCATGATGCACGATTCTTTAAACACTATTGAATTTCACTTGCCAATATTAAGGTTTTTTCATCTTTGTCCAAAAAAATGAGATTTGATTTTTCTTCTGTGATTTGTGTTGGATATTTGGTACCAGAACCATGCTAACTTTATAAAATGGAAAATATATATTCTTCAAGCTAAAGGCCTTTTTTTTTTTCAGTTCTCCTATTTAATTTTGCCTTAGGTTGTCTCTTTATCGTATTAGTCATTTCAATGAGCCAGATTTTGTCCTTTTTTAAATAAAGACATTCATGCATGGAACTTGCTTAATTACTCCTTAGGCAACCTTCCAAGTATTCGTACGTTTCTTTTCCCCAAGAATTATTTAGGAGTGTGTTTCACTTCTAGAAGTGCAGGTTTCCAGCCACTTATCTGCAGAAACTGATCATAGGTGTTTCCTTTGTGTTATCCTGAGAAAATCCTCTTCTGGCCTTACCTCCGTGGCTTGAGTTAAGGAGGCTTAAAGTCTCCTGCTAGGATCGCACCTTGCAGTTCTACTAGTTTTTACTGCACATATTTTGAACTTCAGTGTGTAAATAACCAAGATGTTTCCCCCTTAAGGTAGCCGTCTCCAGGCACCGCCCCAAGCCATTCCATGAACTACAAGAAAATCCCAAAATACAAGTAACGTTTTATTTAAAAAAAAAAAAAAATCTAATTCACTTGGTAAAGGACACCAAGTGTATATGACAAAGGAAATAAATGCCCTGGGATTAGGAAGACAACAGAAATCAAAAGACCTTTAGTTCTCAGGAACCAGTGTTAGAGAATGCTGATTGATTGACAATCCCCAGAAAGGAGGCAGGAACAACAGATGAAATGTTTCAATCGGTATTAAAAAAAAACCAAAACACTGTATCAGAAGAGAAGACACAAAGAACAGCACTGCCAATTTTAGGAGGAGGAGAGTGTCAACCTGAAACAATTCACCATGTTTTTCTTGGAAGGTGCCTGGACATTAAGCAGAACTTAAAAGAACTTTTCCCCTAAAAATGCTCTGGCCACAGGACTGCATCTGTAAACACTGGGTAATCTTTCCTCCTACGGTAATGTAAAAAGTCGGACCTCAAAGAGATACTTTTAAATCTGAAAAAGACACTTTTCGCTGTTCTAAATTACAGGATTTTAAACATTTTTTTTCTATATAATACAGCATCATTTAAAATTTTATTTAAAAGCAATTGATTCAGGCCTGCTTTAGGCTGAAAAAAGAGCCCTTAACTTAGTGGGGACAGCACCTCAGCTTGGTCCCAAATATTCTCCCCTGTTAACTGTTTCTCAAAAAGCATGTCCTGGATGGCTTCACACAGGTGGAAACCACGGAAGACTGATTCGGACCTGCTAATGTTAGAGGGAAGTTGACATGTGGATGAGAGATGACAGTCAGGAGTTGAGGTCTTCTTGCTCACCAAAGCCGCACGACCAGAAGAACGGGGTCCTGCTACCTTGATTTCTTTTCCACCAAAGTCCCACCATCAGATGCTTTTCACTACTTAAAAAGCTTGATAAAGCAGTTGATGAAAACTTCAAAGAAGAAACACACAATACCCCTAAATACAGCAATGTCTTGTTTCCATCCAGTAGCAATTAGGTCTCCAGAGAAGCCTTCCCTTTGTTGTATTATTTCCTTTGGCTCTGAAAACAGACTGAGCCTCCGCTTTGCCTGTGCTCTGCACCCAGAGTACCAGAGTCCTTCCTTTTGCTTCTGAGCAGACTCACCTTTTCACAGAGTTGCTGCTTTAACGAAGACTTTCATGAAGCAGGATTGTCACCAAGGTCCGTGATGGCAGGAGAGTCTTTAGATGAAGCTTGTTTCCTAACTTGTTCCTTTCTTCTCCCATTCCTAGAGTGCCATGCAAATACCAGCACCGCCCCCCCCCCCCAAAGAAGAGAGTTAGTTATCCTCTGTAGCAACCTCCATCTACATAGAACAAGGTAAGGAGAAATAGTTTTCTGAAGCATAGAAGCATTTCAGAATAGAGATGGCAGTTACATTTCTACCTGTGGCTATTGACGATGTGGGGCAGCTGCTAAGAGGGTTTTGAGGCTGTGGCAGAGCAGAGCTCACTGGGGGTGATGTGCAGTGTCGGCCACGGAAGTGAGGGAGCAGTAACTCAGGCTCGTGTGGACTGAGTAGTCAGTCACTCAAAATCTCTCCATGAGGGTAGACAGGACAGAAATCGGGAGCAGAGTTTGCCACAAGCAAAGGCTGCCCTAGGCATGTTCTTTACTGTGCAAATGATTAAAAGATTAATAACACTTTTCATCTAGCCTCAGGGAGGAACCCAGTAATGGCCTGTCCTTGTTTACACCTTACCAAGCCTTCACCACCAGTTGGCTGCAGGCTTTAGGCAAATCCTATCACCTCTCTGAATCTGTTTCTTTCAGAAGGCCTTTAGAATCACTTTTGATTGAAAAACTGGCCAACCTGTCTCTGAACTTAGGCGATCGCCCTGGAATCTACCAATAATCACGTGGCAGACAGTTGCAGGATCAAGTGTCCTCAGGCTGACTGGTCAGAATGCTTGAACCCAGCGCTCACGCCTTTCGGGTCGGTCAGAGCCAGAGACTGACCCAAAGGTGGAGCGCAGCCTGAGCCCCTGCGTGAGAGCAGAGCCCTCTCAGAGCCGGTGCCTGAAGCAGGGGAGTGCTACCCGGGGCAGAAGAGCCCCCCCCCCCCACCCCTTGGCTGTCCCCTGGTGGCCCTGAAGGAGGCTGGGCGTGACCGCTTACCTTCGCTTTCTGGAGGACGGTGCCTTTGCCTGTGACCATGACCGAAAGAGGCCTGTTCTTGAGCGCTGTTGCAGAGTTGACCGGCGTACAGTCTGGGGCAGGGGTGGGGGCGGCAGCTTTGGGCTGTCACGGTAAGAGGAGAGCGGGGCCTGAGCCAAGAGCAGGACGTGTGACCCGCTCCCCCCAGCCCCACTCCAGGCGGCCCTGTAGGTGGCCCAGAGGAACCTCGACTCCCGCCACTCACCCGGGGGCTCACGTTCTCCAGGTGGGTGGTGTCCACTGTGGTGCCCAGCGTCACGGGCCCGGCCTCCGCCTTCTTCAGGTTGTCCTTCACCTCCACGATGTTGAGCTCGAGGTCCACACGCCTTCTCTCCTCCACCCTGCACTCCTCATCGATCTCCTTCAGCCTTTGCTCCAGGCTGGCCAGAACTTCCTTGTCTGCAGAGGGAATTAAGCTGGCTGCAGGGAACGGCACCCCCAGTGGGTGTGGACAACTCCGGCTCCCCACACTCAGAGCAGGCTCCGACATCTGCATCCTGCAAAGGCTGGAGAACACTCTGGGGGAAGAGAGCTCTGCCTTCACCAGATGGCATGGATCTGAGGTATAGAACCTTCTGGTAGGTTCTTCGGGACTCTCAGTTGTTTTGATACCTGCTGTTGTTGCAGCAAACCCCCAGGGAGAGAGCAGCTTTATTAATGACCCTTGGGAGGATGGCTGTGCTGTTTCTACCTGCCCCACACAGTCCCCTCAATCCTCCTGGCACTCCGGACTCCCCTAAGCCGATGGGGAGCGGTGGTCCTCAGCCCCGGCACTTCCTCAGTCCTGTTTCATTCTCCCCCTGGAGTGCTCAGGTTGGTACACGAGCACCAGGAAAGGATGGCTCAGGACTCTACAGCGAAGCCACATGGCACCATGGTTTCCCTTGGCAGTGAGTTCTGGGCCAACAGCCACTAAGATGACGTATGCCCTCTTTCCAAGCCGAGGGTGAGCAGTCACCTGTCACCCTTATCTGAGGACAAGCAGGCACAGGGGCCGATGTTTAAGAAAAATTCATGGAGAACAAGCTGAGAAGATGTTACTGATAGTTTTGGAACTGGAGTGCTAGATCAGTGGTCAGTATCTGTGCTTTGAGAATTACTTTCTTTTGCTCTGTGGCCTTATTAGCTTAGGATCTTCAGGCCGCTTTGCCAGGAGAATAAACTGTAGTGGACATTTTCTCTTCTCCTGCCCAGCGAATCTACATGGGAGAGAAAAGGCCGGGGCTCCCTGGCCCTGCCTCCGCCCAGCTCACGCTCCAGGTTTGCAAGGACTGTCGGGGATGAGCCTCTGGGTCATGCTCGTGAGCACACATCCCAGCTCTGCAGTCTCGGCTGGGCCAGAAGGAAACTGAGCTCCCGTCAGAAAGCAGATTAGTGGTTGCCTAGGGATTGGAGGGTGCGGGGAATGGGGAGTGACCGCTAACGAGTATGGGTGGTGAGATACTCTGAGGGTGTCTGGTGCTGGTGGCAAAGATCTGGGAAGATTCTAAAAATCATGGCGTTGTACACCGTAAATGGGGCGGTTGTATGGGCTGTGACCTGTAGCTCGCTAAAGCTGTTCTAGGACAAAGAAAGTGGGTGACTCTGGTGGAGGAAGGTCACGGGAGCAATCATGTTCGAAGCTTCCAAGGAATCAGCTGAGGTTGTCCCCAAACCTGCTGCCGCCACTTGCACGTACAGGTGCAACTTTGTAATTTACATATTAAGCACTGAGATGGACTCTATGAAAATGAGGTAAGTGCTTCAGAGGATCCCCTAAAAAGCAAGTTTCTTCTAGGAGATGGCTGCTGAGTGATGGGGGAAGGATCTGGAAAATAAGCTACACAGACTCTGATTTCTTTCCAAGTGTCTTAAATTTTTGTTCAACGAAATGAAGACTGGGGATGCTGGACAGGGCAGGGGAGCACCAACCTGCACCACAGATGGACGGGGCGAAGGCTAATGGGCCGCATGCAGGGGCACAGATCCGAATTCTTCCTGTGGAGAGCCCAAGCCCCCTGACTGCCCCTTTCCACCTGGGAGGCCCCTCACCTGTGCATTTTAACAAGGTCTCTCTGAGCTCCCGTTTCTCTTTCCGGAGTTGAGCCAGGTGCCCCCGGATTTCTTCCTTCTTCTTCTCCAGCCTCTCTTTCTCCTCTGTGTACCGCTTTACCTCGGCTTCTGTCCTATTCTTGCCAAGTTTGATCTCTATGGACCCAGAGAGGAGAAGCCCTAGGTCAGCCAGGCTGGGACACAAGGGCCGTCCCAACACACCCCCCGCCCTGCCCCCCCGGCCAAGGCTCAGACACAACCCGAAGCTCTGGCAGTGGGTCAGAGCTGAACACTAGGCCAGCCTGGCAGGGACAGACAAGGAAATTGGGCAGGTCTCTTCACCTCTCTGAACCTCTATTTCTGCATCTGAAAGGGAGGGAGCTGGACTAACTTCTCAAAGCCATTTCCAAAACATTCAACTCTTATCTACCACAGGCACCTGCTGTGGTCACCCTCAACCTGTCCTTCACAGGTGGGCTGGCCCCAGCCGGGGTGACGGCCGCAGTGTCGGGGCAGCTCGATGGGAAGGAGATTTTCTGCTGTTCAGTCTGGACTTTGACTGTTGTGGTTCTCGGGGAAGGCTCCTGGGGCTCTGGACTCTCCTGCCGCGGCGTCTGCTTTGGGAGAAAGCAAACACAGCTTAGCTGGCCCAGGGGCTGCGAAGGCGAGGCCAGCCTACCTGCTGGGGGACAGGCTTACCTGCAACTCGGGGTTCTCTGGAGACTCTGCCAGGGGCTCATCTGGGGCAGGGCCCGGGTCCACAGGGAGAGTCTCGGCTGGGGGGTCCAGGTGGGATGGTGACGGGGACTGGGCCCGAGCCTGTGCACCGCCGGAGCTGTGCAGAAAGGACTTGACAGGTGTGAGGTCCAGGTACACTCGGTCGGGCTGGGACTCGCCCAGGGCCTCTGTCACAGGGGCAGCTTCCTCAGGAGTTTCCACCTGCAGAGAAGAGACAGGTGGCTTTCACCTTTGCCTCTGCCCGCTGGGCTGTGGAGGGGGCGCCAGACCTGTCTCCTGTCCGTGCCCCACGCTGGAGTTCACAGGGACCCCCCTCCTGGGGAAGCTTCCATTGAGCTGGACTTAAAAGGCCAGGGTTCAAGTCCTGGGTTTGCCATTCAGGAGGTGGGAGACCCAGGACATAGTATTTACTCTTCCTGAATCTCATGTCTTGATATGTAGAGAAGAGACTAGTGCACGTCCTTGTGGGGTGGTGAGGATTAAATGAGACAATCCACAGACGCTCTTAGCACGGCACACAGTTCCGTAAATGGAACCTGCTGTCACTATGATTGTTCACTATCAGTTTGGGCCTCAAAGGTTAATGGTGTTGCTGTTCCTGATCCTGACTCCTCCCACCCCTCACCCTGCCCGGGCTGGTTCACCAAGTGTTTGAGCTAGAAAAGTCCCCAAGCCAGGTGCACTGCACACAAGATGGCCTTGGTGCACTAGGTTCTGCACCCTGCAGGTGACTTGGAATCCACCCGTCTTAGGGACAATCTGCCAATCTCTGGCATCGAGGTTTGGTGAGGGGAGGACGGGACAGCCCAGGTCGCTGCCCAGCCTGGGTCCTTACCACAGCCATCAGCTCCGATGTCTCCACGTCGTCATACAGCATCTCCTGGTGGTCCTGTCTGGGCAGGCCGTCGATGTAAGTGTTCGGCTCCGAGAACTTCCTCTGCATCAGTCTGGAAGACCCAGCAAGACATATCGAGAAGGGGAGGAGGACAGGGCGGTGAAAGCCACCATTCTCCGGGGATTCATGACAACAAGAGGTGCGGCAGGAGCTGCAGGCTGTGCAAGGGGACCTGGGCACTGGCATCGACCTCATTTTCAACTTTGTTGAGGGAGATCTCCTCCCTCTCTTCCCAGACCCTTCTTACCGGAACTCCCAGTCCTGAATTTCTCTTCCAGGAAAACCAACTTCCCTTGCCCCATACCCCACCTCTCCGGATCCTACTGCCTTCTCGCCCGGATTCCTAAAACACCCTTTTAGGACCTCCTTCCAACCACGAAATCCTTTCTCATGTCATCACGATGCACTTGGGCAGCCCAGCCCAGGCACTTCCCTGGTTTTGTACACAGGAAAACGGATCCCACTACGGCGGCTCGGCCAGCTTCCATGAGCGCTCCCCCCGACCACCCTAACCCAGGAGCGCTTCTCCCCAAGCCCAGTCCGCTTGCCTGGAAAGCAGAAGTGTGGACCCCATATTCCAGAGTGGGTTAGGACTCCTCGGGGGAGCAGTAAGGAAAGTGGATGGTCAGGAAAGGCACCAACTCTGCCGTAAGGAGTTGGAGAGCAACCACCAGGACGAGGGTGCCGTGGGCCCCCCACCCCCAGGCCTGGCTCAGGTCCTCGCTGCTCCTGGGCCCCGGGCCTCCCGCTGCTGACCCTGGGTTCGCAGCTGCCGCCCTGCAATGATGGAACAGGCCACGGGAGGCCAGCCTGGGCCACGTCTTGAAGTGTGGCTGGGAATGGGAGGGGGCGATGCAGCAGAGCCCCGTAACACTCACAGCAGAGAGGTTTTGGCTGCACTGACGATACAGGACACCCTGTCGGCATCCACGTAGTCGTAGGTGAATTCTTCCGGGTCTGTCTTGGAGCCTGACTCAGAGAGCAGGAGGCCTAGCCAGTGGCCCATTTCCTCAGAAGACTTGGCCTGGAGGAGGCCGAGAGGGACATGAGCAGAGCTGGAGTGTGCTGTCTGGTGCCCAGCCCTCCTGGCCAGGCCAGCAGCACCCCCGCCCCGATGCCCGGGCCTCGGAGAGAGGCGGGGGCCACGTGCCCTCATTGTCACTAGCTTATCTCATCCCTGTGCCTCCAAACATTTTCTGCCCCTGGGGTACCTTGCTGCCCCCTTGCTGATGCTGTGAACATCTGTCCCAAGTACCAAATGTGATTCACAGACACGTATTTCTAGGAGGCTAATGAGCCCGGAGAGCACGCATTTGAGGCTGACGCCTCTATTTTATAAACTATCACGTGGCAGTCTATCACCCTAATCGGTACATACAAGACCGGATCCCTAGTTCAAACTTATTTTTGTTTACAGTTTCAGTAAAGCCAGTCTTTAGGATAAAGGGTATCTTAAGTACCTGACACCGAGTCAGCTGGCTCTGATAAATAAGGAGGTAAATCCTGGTGAAGCTGGAGCCTGTTTTCTTCCAGGGGACAACGCAGTCTAAGGGTATCTATTAAAATGCCAACTCTTTCTTGCCTTTCTAATGAGAAAACATTGGGAATTCTATGAAGACTCCAGGTTTACTTCCACGAGGAGAGCTGCTCGCTGGCCTGACACGACTCAGCTGTCCTGCCTCATTACTCCGTGGTCTTCGTCAGAGAGGCATCTGACGAAGAGCTGTGAGGGGAGCTGGACACCGAGCTGCTTTTCGTCTCCTGTTCCTTTTCCAGCGGGCGTTTCCATCAGCTTTACGTGGGCACCCTTAGCTCTAGCCACCACCCTCTCTGCTCTGGGCAACTGTGACCGCCTCCTTACTGGTCTCAGCGTGGCCCTTCCTGTGGCCCTCCCATCCCTTCCCCTGCCCAGCAGCTGGAGGAAGCATCTCGCAATCACAAGCTGAGCAAGCCGCCGTCCCCTGAAACCCTCCAGGGCGCCCCCTCGCTCTGAGGATCAACCCTCCCAGCCTCATCACACACACCCCCAGCCCGTGGGGCTTTTCCACAGTTCACAGCACCCACCCCATGGCTTTCCAGCAGCTGTAACTAAGTCATCCACTGGGTAATTGGTTGAATAACATCTCAGTCTCACACTAGAATCCAAGTTCCGTGACTCCGTATCTGTCTTGTTCACCACATTACTGTACTGAGTAGGTATCTGTCAACAGGACAGCTGGGTGGATGAACACAAGCTTGTCCCCGGGTTCCCCTCCGGGAAGCAACTGGAATGCAGAGCTTTGAGCCACCAGAGGGCAGTATTGGAGCACAATTTGGAGGAAGACCCCCAGTGGGGAAAGGACCAGGAGAACAGGGGTGAACCAGGGAGGGTGCTTCCCCGCATGTCAGGAACTCCGGCTCAGGCCTGCCCCTGCTCAATGCAAGGCATTAGGTCACCTCTTATTTTTGTAAATGTAACATCAGAGGGTGGGGAGTGGGAGAAACATCATTGTATCACAAACCTCATTCTTCCCCCAGATAAGCCCTAACAATCATGGTCTCTATGTACGGGGCCCCATCTGGTGATACGCAAACCAAATCAAACCCACTGTGAATCCCCAGAAGGTTTTTCAAGCAGCTCAGGGAGTTATAAATACTCCTCCTGCCCTCAGTGCAGGAAGTAGCTCATTGTCCCTTTCCTATAACCCAACCACTCTGAGATCAGAAAGGGAATGGAAATTTTTTTTAAAATGCAAAGAAGTAAAATGCAAGAGAATTAAAAAAAACTCAAAAAAATGCAGAGCTACACTGCCTGACTGTAGGATGACGGTCTGCGAAGCGCAGCCAACAGCCCGGACCCCCGCACCCGGCCTCCCCCCACAGGCTTAGCAGTACCTCGAGCTTGGCCAGCTCCTCGCCGCGGTGGAGGATGCGGAAGGAGTACAGGTGGTCAGGGCTTGGGTCTGGGACCACCTCACAGCCCACCAGGCTGAGGGGCTGCTGGGCCACCTTGCTCCGGTTCCGGTCCTGGTAGAAATGCAGGTGACTGTCCCTGACGGAGCACCAGCGTGACTTCCACTGGCTGTTCACCAGCACGTTCAGGTAACCTGCAGGAGGGGACAAGGGCATCCACGGCTGCCACCACGTCTGGGCCTCCCAGAATCTTCACCAGAATCTCCGTTCCCAGACCTGTCACGCTTTGCCCGAGGAGTGCTCTCACTTCAAGGAGGCTGGGGATCTCAGCACATTCTTTGCCCTGCCTCTGTGTGTGCGGCCAGACCCTTGGAAAGTGGACTGCACAGCTCTGCTGCATTTCCGACTAGGTCTGGCCCGAGGGGAGGGAGTCATGTCATTGGCCAGAGCAGGCTGGCTGGGTATATGTGCAGGACAGGGCTCCCCAGCCTCATGCCCCGCTGGAAGCAGCCTTCCCCGCCCTGGTCACTTAGGCCACGTGCAGCCAGGTCCCCAGCCGGGGTGGCCCCGCTGCAGGTGCAGTCAGCTCCCCAGCCTCTTAGAGCCTTAGCTTCCTCAGCATCCCTGACACATGGCCTTTCCATCACCTGGTCACTCAGCCTCAGCCTGCAAAGCCCTCCTCCCCTTGGCCGGCTCTCTCTCATCCACCTAAATGCAGCCAGACTTGACCCTCCCTGGGTCCTGCACGCCCTGCCTGGCCTCCCTTTGGAACCTCTGAATCTGAGACCTGCTTCCATGTCAGCTCCCCCAGCAGACACTGAGCTTATCCAGGGCAGGAACTTGCCACCTTCCCCTCCGGTGCCCAGGGTACGAAGCCATGCAACAGGTCACGGTGCACGGCCACGTTCCCACCCACCCAGTGCTGGACATACAGCGGGGATCATGAGTTTCTCAGAGCCACACGAACAGGAGCACGTAGAATTCAAGCTGAAGACCTAGGAATTCTGGCTCATCCAGGCAAGTACCCCACTTGCCCATCACGGTTCTCTGGACCGAAGAGAACTCTGCGTCAAGAAAGCAGGGAGCGCAGATGCCAAGTCTTGGGAAGGAGAGCAACTATGTTCTGTCACCCTTCCCTAGCCACAGGGGACAGAAGCATGCTTCTCTGTTGGAGAGGCTTTCAGCAATAGTCCAGCCACATCTCACAGCGGCTCACTGAGGCCAGCTTTCTGTGCCAGTGCGCCCCCCGAGGCTGCAGACAGGGGCTGGCAGAGCTGGGTCACAACCCCGGTGTCCTGGCCAGAGAAGCAAGGGGCTCCAAAGGGGAGGCCCCATCTGCTGACTTCCCATTACACCCACCCACCCTGCTGGCCTCAAAAACCAGAACTGGGCTGGGACTCGGGGAAGGAGCCCAAGGCTGGAACATGGGTTCCACGAGGAAGAGAAAAAGGCCTCAAGGTGGACAGCATCAGCCTTCGGGCCCCGGGAAGAGCTCTGAGCCGTGAGTCCCAGGTTGGGGGCCCGGACAGAGGCTCCCCCGGGGTATTTTCTGGGAAAGGCCTCAGTTTCCTCAAGACAGAACGAGGACAGTAGAGATGACCTCTGTGAGCCAAGCGGCCCCCAGACACACCCTCTGCACCAGCAACGTGGGCTTCTGTCGTCCCCTTAATGGTTCTCACTGTCCCCATCTGAGTCCTAGCTCCTGCCTGGGGGGCGGGGAGCGCCACCTCAGCCCACTCAGCTCCTGCCCGACCTTCAGGCCTCAGGGCCAGGAAGCCCCCCCCCTGACCTCGGGGTAGGAAAGGCTCCAGCCCCGAGTGCTTACAGCTCCTGCGGTGACACAGCGTGTGGCTTCAGGGTGTGAAGCCACCACGGCGCTTGGGCTGTGAGCTCTCTGGACTGTGTTCTCCCTCTGCCTGGTCCCCCTTCCCTGGCGCTGCTCGCCATGCGCCTTCAAGACTGATCAAAGGAACGTAACTGTTGGAAGACCACGGGGAGGACAGCGGTCCGGGACCGGTCACTTGCACAAAGGACCCAGCACTGCAGCAAGACTAGGGCCCGTGAGGCGTAACGACCCACCCGCCGGGAAGGCGGCCAGAAACGGGAGCCGCAGGGCTGCCGGCCGCAGAGGTGCCTAGAGCAAGCCCTAAACCGGCCGCGGGCGCTGTCCGAGCCGCCTTCCCGGGGCCGGCTCCCGCCCAGTGGGGGAGCCCGCGGGTCCCGCCTGAGGCGACGGTTCTTACTGGACGTCTCGAGGGACCTGTCCGGGGGCTCCAGCGAGGTAGATTTCTTCCTGCCCAGGTTCATTAGGTTGCTCAGTTTGAGGCCAGGGGACGATTTCTTCTTGACTGTCGAGATGAGAGAAAAACCTGTCAGCATTGCACGCAGCCCGCTGACACGCCGCGAGGAAGAGCGGGGACCACACACCGTTCCCGCCGCTTCTGCCCGGCCCCGCGCGCGCGCGCGCGCATGCGCACGTAAACATGTCCGCCCCCCAGACCAGGAGCCGCAGGCCAGTCACGTACCCCTAGAATCACACACTCAAGAGGGGGACACCGACTCCATTTTTAAAAAAGATAATTTCTATTTTTTTTTAAAAAAGATACATTTATTTGGGAGAGAGAGAGAGCACAGACGGGAAGGGCAGAGGGAGAGGGAGAATCTCAGGCAGATTTCCCACCGAGTCTGGAGCCCAGTGTGAGGCTCGATCCCACGACCCTGAGATCATGACCTGAGCCAAAATCGAGTTGGATGTTCAACTGACTGAGCCACGAAGCGCCCCACACCAACTCCTCTTATAGACTAGGTCAGCATTTGAGAATCTTCACAGACTGTACTGGCTCAAATAGACTGGGTCTAGGATCAGCAAACAAGAAGAGATGCAAGACTATTCTGCCCCCTGGCAATTCATAAAACTTGACCGCGATTTGTTCATCTCTCCCTTTCTCTTGGGTTTATCAGCTGTGTTATTTCCAAGCAGTTTATAAGTTGGAGGCATGTTGCAAGCAGCTGTTAAAACCCATTAGGGTTGAGCCAGACAGCCACGTCTCAGAGCCTGGGACACCATCCCCCTCCCAAGCTGAGGCTGAGGGCCACAAGCGCTGGTACCATCTTTGGCCTCTGGGACCTCAGGGTGGCCATCTACGGAGCTTCCACATTCCGAGGCTGACAGGTACTTCTCCGTTACATCTAGCTGTGGAAAAGAGGGAGACAAGTGGGTGATCTTGTCTGGGAATGGTTACCTCAGGGATCACAATAAAGAAAACTAAGAGATAGCTTTCAGACGTAGGCTAGGGGTCACCACGGAGTCCGGGTCACTGATGGCGCATCGGCCAGGCTTCCCTCCAGCTCTCTGGGGGACCTGCCTTCACCTTCCCTTTCCCTGCCCCATCCAGAGACGACCCTCTTCTTTGGGCCACCACACATCCAAGTTCACAAGTTCTCAAGATGCCTACTCAACCTGATGTAAGAGCAGCCTGTAGCCATCCCCGGGGTGGCCTTAGAGTTGACCCCCCAGCTGAAGCTGACCATCAGGCTGGGAACCACCTGAGCATGAGGAAGGCTTTTAAGAACTGACAGCACTATGAACATATCAGGCTTCAGAGGAAGGCCAGCTTGTCTACACAGGGTCAGACCATGATTTGAGCCCTAGCTGGAGCACCCTCCATCCAGACCAGGTGCCCCACTTATAACCCTCTCTGGGCCCTGCTGTGCATGTGTTTAAATATGGATAATATCCCTGTCTACATCCCCAGGGTTGTTAGGGGACTTGTGAGTTTCTAGAAGGGTGTGGTGGCTGTTGTTAGAATGTGAAGCACTCAGAACATTCCAACCAAGCTTCTCTCAGAGAACGACTTTGTCCAGACCTCTGGGAAACACGCTGAGGGACTCCCAACCCATGGGACTGGGCTTAGGCGGCGGCTCAACTTCTATACCTGGCCAGGGAACTCCATGAGGGATGACCTGTGCCTTCCCGAAGAACGGAGCACCTCCTCCTCCCTACTTGAGACATCTACGTACCCTCTGCCTTCTTCCCTGCCGGGGCCTGGGAGCCCAGGGTGAGGCACAGTGACACTCTGCTCTGTGCACTCCCAGGCTGCAGGGCGCCTGTTTACAGATACTTGGGACCTGACATGCAAAGCCATAGGGGTCAGCCCTCCCCTCCGCTAGCCCCCGGCCCCAGGGCTCCATGCAAATGAGCAACAGAACCCTTTGGTTGGAATCAACATGGGGACAGTCTCCCAGCCCCGAAGCTTTATCAGGAGTAAATGAGAAAGAAGAGTCTCATAGCATGAATTTCCCTGCTTAAGAATGGAGGGCACGCTGACCTTGGTTCCAATAAAGCTTCCTGCACCCAAGCAAGAGAAAATCAACGTCATCAGTTTTTCTGCCAACCTGAAGCTACTGGGCTTATCCACGCATTGTACGTTTCTTACTCACTGGACTGAAGTGCAAAAGCAAAGATCTCAGTCTCATACTTCTAATTTTTACAGAGAAGACTGAGAATTGAACTCTCTTCCAGGCAGGATAGAGGCTTACTTTCTGACAGTTCAGGCGCTGGGCATCTGGGCTGTACTGATTTCCCTCGGACGCTCCTTCTGAAGGCAGGCCACTCACCTCCTGGATGACCTGAAGGGAGAGAGAAGCCATCCGCGGAGGCCCTTCAGGCCTGGACTCACAGCCAGACGGAAGCGAGAGCCCCTCGCAGTCAGGGGAAGTGGATGGAGGTGAGAGAGAGGGGGATGCACGCTTTCCAAGGAACAGCGACTCTCCCTCCCACCCCCAGCACCTGGCCTGGAACTGGGCAGGCTGCAGAGGGGGAGGCTTGTCCCTTCGGCCCCCTTTCCTGCCGACCCCCACGTGCTCTGGTGGTGGGCAGGGCGGTGGGGGGGGGTGTTGCTTTACAGCAAAGCCGAAAGACGGCCAAAGCTGCAGCCCTCAGCTCTGCGAGGCCCTTCCTTGCCCTCATCCTGGGCAGGGATGGCTGTTCAGCTGTGGGTATGATGAAGAACTGCATCAGCCAAGCCCCCCCCCCCCAGCTTTTCGGGGGCCATGGAACTTCCTGTGGAGAGCCTCCCGCCTGCTCGGGAAGCAGGCCTGCCAACTGCCTGGGGCCAGGACTGGCTCTCCAGACTTGCCTGTCGTGGTCCACCCCACCCTCCTCCAGAAGGAGCCTTTTCACTGGCACCCGGAGGCCTGGGCTGGGGGCCCACAGGTCAGAGGAAGCTCTGGCCACACTAGGCAGAGGGTAACAGCCCCGGGCAGCCACACACACACACACACACACACATACACGCGCGCGCGCACGTGCGCTGCCCATCCAGAGCCCTTTGGACTCAGCAAGCTGAGCACTTTCAAAGACCCTCCTTTTTCAGTCTTTGCTTAGAGCAGTTTATGGAAACAAGGTCAAACGTAGAAAAGCCAAAGAAGCAAAGGAAGAATGGCTATGGAGATGGGGAAACATAAGACAGGTCTAACTTCTTAGATGGACTCCAGGTCGGGACCTCGGTCCACATGGTGGACCAAACACGCAACATGGAGCTGTGGGAAGTCAGTCCACTAGCTGTGTGACCCCGGGCCTACGCTGCCGTCACCACGCCTGTAGGATGGGGCCACACCTGCGCCGGGCAACCACAGGGTTGCTGTGAGGACTCATGTGTGAAGGTACCATCCTCATGAGCTGGGGCCTAGATACGCGGACACTCTAGGCGGGGGAAGCACGCAAAGCCTAGAATCCAGGCTTGAGGTCTTCTCTGGGAGAGTCCCGCCCGTGCTTTCCTTTTCTGGGGTCCTTGTCCCATACTTAGCATTTCCCACCCATGGCCATCTACCTGTCCCACTCTGTAGAGCTGGGACACGGAGGCCAGGGAAGGGAGGTAGGTTTAATGAAACAGGTATGTGTAGATGGTGAGAGCCCACCACACAGGCTCACCAGTCCTACCGAACCGCAAGAGTGTGCAGCTTCTCGGAGTCAGACCCTGGCAGCCGGGCCCGCCTCTGTGCTCATCTGAGCAGGGAGGAAAAGGACTCTGTGCAGGCCGACGGGGAGGCTGGGCCTCCTGAGAGTGTTCTTGTCTTTGAAACCAGCAGCAGGGGTCTCAGGATGAGGGCATGTGAGTCAGGGAGGGAGACTGGGGGTCAGAGGAAGGACAGGTAGGTCTGAGCAGTCAGAGGAACAGGCTGGGAATAGGGAACTGGGAGCAGGAGGGTGTGTGTGTGTGTGTGTGTGTGTGTGTGTGTGTGTGTGCGCGCACGTGTACGTACGTGTACGTACGTATGTACACACAGGTGGATAGGGAGCGACGGCAGATCCAGGGCAGCAGGAACCAAGGAAGGAAGGGACCTCTCTGGCTCTGTCTGGCCTCACCAGGGGCCCTGCTGGCTTTGGAGATCCCTCTGCAACCAGGGGCCCCTTCTTGGTGCAAACCTTATACCTTCCGGTCAAGCTTATCTTTAACACGGGGCACACCAGGCTTTGTCATTCCTGGGGCTGTGCCACGTACCTGCGGGCAGACCTGACCATCTGCATCTGTGATGGTAGGACACGCAGGACTGCGGCCCGACAGTCGTGGGTTTGAAACCCGATGCTGCCACTCCCTTGCCAGGTGACCTTGATTAGTCACCTCCTCCGTCTGAGCTCTAATCAGCACCCCTGTAAAATGGTGATACTAACATGGTGCAGCTACGCCCGGTGCGGTCAGGTGGGTTGTTTGCTCCAAGTGCACGGCCCTTGGTAAGTGCTTTCCCAGTGACCCTGCTGTCTAGGCGTCTTTAATAAGGAGGCTGGCGATGCCTCTCCAGCAACCAAAGGACAAATGAGTCTCAGCTAGAGCCCAAGTCCAGGCATAGCACAGGGTGCTGTGATCCTTTCGTTAGGACTGACTGCTACCACTTAGAACACAGGAGCCCTGAGAAGTTGAAGGACTGGAGATCCTTTACCCTTGACAACAGTCATCCCTTTTAGAAAAAGCCAGGGCGCCGGAACTGAGGAGCCCCTGGGAGCCCCACAGGGGAGCAGGCATGTGTCCCTGGCAGCCCGGCGCCGCCCTCACCCTGAGCCACTGCTCCGCTTGGTCCCTGCTCTGCAGGCCTAGCACGATCACATCGGCGTTCATTGGCGTGATCTTCAGCTTGTGCTCCTTCTTCCGCACTTGCTTCTCCTTGTGGATGACGCTGCTGCCCAGCAAGTTCACGTCCAGCTGCGGGCTGTGGTCCTTGGACGATTTGTAGCACTAGAAGGGAAGGGAGACGCTGTGCCGCTCGCCAGGGGCACCAGGCCTGGCTGGGGTCTGCAGAGATGGGTCAGTGGCACAGCGGGACCCCCTGAGACCCCCTGTGCATGTTTCTCCCTTAACACCCTCAGGAAGGGGTGCAGAGGGAATGAAGGCCAAGCTCATTAGCTGCTTAGTTAGGAAGATGATTTGTAGCAAGAAAAGAAAGGGACCTGCTTCCCCTCCCAGACAAAATACTTGGCCCCTGTTTGTCACGGTCTAAAGGGGGCCCTCACAGGGCTGCGGAACGGGATTCCCAGAAAGAACATCTGCGCAGAGCAGAGCGTGTTGTGACCTGGGAAGAAAACGTGCTCATAATGATTCCAAGGAACTTCAAGTTAGGACATAAAACTGAATTGTAATTTAGAATAACAGGAAATAGGGCTGTGGTCAGAGTAATATCCTCCGTTTCCCTTATGGGTTTTGTCTTCTAATCAGTGATCCAGAATACCGTGACTTCTGAGACAATGCCTCAGATTCCAACATCGCAACAGGTGAATGCAGCGGCCAGAACCGGGGCCAGGGGGAGTCCTGACCGGGCAGCAGGCTCCGCCCCAAACAGCCAGGGGTCGGCATGTGAGGAAGAATGAGCCCTCCGACCAGGGGACAAGATCCCCGGAAACCGCGTCTATGCGGCTGGACCGGGGGCCGGGGGTGGTGATCCCAGCCCCCTGGCAGAGTCCTAGGAAAACCATTAGACTTTCTAGGCGAAGGAGCACATTCACCCCTGCACAAGACGTCCTGCACACGATTTCAAGTTAGGAGGAGAGAAAGCCTCCAGAGAGAAAAGGCTCCAACCACCTGGTATCAGTGTCCATCTTCCCGACCCCCCGCAGAGAGAGAAGACGGGAACACCACAGGAGCCCAACTGACCAGGAGCCTGGTGTCTTTGATGACGCAGAGCTGCTTGGCCCACTGCCCCAGCCACTTCTTACGCCACAGGAAGGCACAGATGCGGGCGTCGCGCATCAGCTCGATGCTGGCCTCAGGTGAGGGCCACTGGTAGGGGGCCGACTTGCCCTTGCTGTTTTCCTCTTCATCGTAGGACTCGTAGGAGCTGCTCACAGCCTCTCCGTCCTCTGCAAGGAAGACCCATGCGGTCAGGGCCCCGCTGGGCAGGGGAACCTTGGTCCAGGAGGGAGGGCAGCCAGGGGCCTCCAGGCCACAATCCCCCTGCCGCCCCCGCCCCCCCCCCCCCCCGCCGGCTCTCTGTGCCCTTGAACCAGCCTGACAGCCACCAGCCACAGACCTGGGCAGGCCCGGCCCCCAAGCCCCCTCAGTGAAGCTTCTTGGATGTCCTTCCTGGCCACAGACACAAATCACCCAAACCAGGAGTCTCTCCCTTTTCCTGCTCAAATCTGTCATCCCAGGCTCCACAGAAACCTCTGACAAGACACTGCCCACAGGCGACCCTCCTGCCTGGGGGCCTCCATATCCTCACCTGAGGGATTTGCCAGGGGGTAGCCTGGCACCCGGGCATTCTAAGGGGCCAGCGGAAGGGCCGCCGTCCGAGCCAGAGCTGTGCACGTGGCAGGCCCCCGACAGCGGGGCCGCCTCCGTCCCTGGTTTTGTCCCTGAGGGAGGGGCTGCAGTTTCTTAGGGTGGGATAAACCACAGCAGGAAATGGCTCTGAGGGGAAGGCGGCTGTCCGCCTTGGTCACAGCCCTTTCCCCAACCCACTCCAGCCTCCCCAGACTCCGCTCGCTCTCCCTCCCCCTGCACACCTCCCAGCACCGACAGCCCCTTGTGCTGGTTTCTGCCTCCAACGCTTCCTCCACCTCTGGCAACCAGCCAACCCCATGCATTTGTTCTGTTCAAGAGGATCCCAAAGCTCACCAAGCACAAACCGTGTTCAGTTCTGTGCACGCTTCCCATGCCTCAGTTTCTGTTCCCTGCCGCCCCCCGCCACCGTACCCTGGGAGAGTCGCTCTGTTCTCCAGGCCCCATTCTGCTATTCAAGCCCAAACAAAACTAGGTGAAGAAAAAAGTAAATCAGTAAAACCCCAAAAAGCAGGACATGGAGAAAAGAGAACCTCAGGATCCCTGGTCCAACCCCCCTGGCTCAACACAGGAATCCTGTCTGTGGGAACCTTGCTGCTGCTTCAGCCTCTGCTTGAATTCCCTCTGGATGGGGAGCTCACTACGTCCCCTCACTACTTCCTTCTATGACTGGGAAGTCAGGCCACCATCTACTTCGCTGTAACTTCTACAGACTGGTTCTGTCGTCCCCTGGAGCCAGGGTGAATGTACCTCCTCTATCCTCCCCTCCGATCCCCTTCAGAAAAAAGTCAGTCCATGGGCCCTTAGCCTTCCCTTCCGCAGAAGCCCCTTCTACTTTCTGCACTAGGAAGACAGACCATATCTGACTTAGAATACAGCCCAGAACGAGGCCACTGCCATGGTTATCCTAGCTACGGGGCCAATGAAAATGTGTTTTACTATGTCTAACAACCAGCTTTCTTTAACAGCAGTGTGGTACTGCTCCCCTTCTCAGCTTAACAAAAAAGTTGCGCAAACTCCTAATCTCACACCCATGAAATGAGCGAAGATGGGGAGGAGGGGCGTAGCCAATGGGAGACCTGAACTCTCCCGTTGCTGGTAGCAACGGAAATGCACACACGCCTCTCAGAAAACACTCTGGCAGCCTGTTGCTGTGAGAGCCATAGAAACACCCGTACCCTTTGACCCAATTACCCCAGATCCTAGGAAACCAGAGAAGGGAGGGGGGAGGTTACATGCGTCAAGATACTCATTCCGGTGCCATTTACAGTCAGCGGCAGGAGAGCGGGAAAAGTGTGATGCACCCGCTTGGAAGCAGGCCAGGCAACCATGATCCCTGGGAACTCTGAACACTAGTCTGTAGCTCAATAAATACGATGGTAAGTGAGGAGGCACAATTAAAATTCTACGTGTGGAAGCATCAGTGCCGAGAGGCAACAGGACTAACTCAAGAGAGCTGGTCTGATCCAGTGACAGGAGCAGGGGGATTGTGTTAAAAAACGGAAGTCCTCATTGTCAGTATGGTATAGTCTATACAATAAGGGAAATAAGAAGAACGATGCAGTGTCATCAGGATGCTTCCTTCTGCAACAAAAATTAATAGAGGGAGGTCACAGAGTTTAGCAGGAAGAAGTTGACCAAATCCCCCCACTGTCTGTGCTTCTGGGGTTGGTCTGTGGAGAATTCTAACACCTGCCCATCCACCTCCAGGGGGCTATGGGGAAGCCGAGAAGAACCAGCAAATCACAGTACCTCAAACTACCTGGAGTAGCTTAGGGGAAGCTTGGGCGAATATACTGTCATTTTGTCATTTATCTCTAAGAGCGATCATAGCAGGGCCATGAATGTAGGACAGACACATGGCTTCCAGGGGTGACAGGATGAACAGGAGTGAAAGGCAGGAGGCTCAGGTAATTCCATCCCCTTTCTGCATCCCTGGGAGGACCGCCCCCCACCGTGTGCTGCTGGAGGTCTTTGGGAACAGAGGGCAGAACCACCGTGCAGCGCCCTGGTCCTTCGCCCGTGCATTCGGATGCCGCTGGAGGGGTCTGTGGAAGGCAGAGTGAGTCTCTCCTTCTGGAAGGGTGATACACGGGGTGCACATGCAAGACCCATGCACAGGGCAGGGAAGAGGTCAGAGGCCGCCCTCGGGGCATGCATCCGAGCTCTGAGAGCCCGGCAGCAGGCACAGAATCACCGGCATTCCAGCTCTGGGGACAAGCAGTACCCAAGGTGATCGTGGCGTAAATGACTCCTTCAGGCACCTGCACCCATCTGGGGACTCCAGTGGGGGAAAATCCGCCAGAATGACCTGTGTGAGATGCAGAAGCACAGGAGAAAGGCGAGATGGAGAGAGACAAGATGAAGAGAAGACCAGACCCAAGTGCAGAGAGAGACATAGAGTGACCCAGAGGTGGCCACATGGCTGCCTCTCCACCGGAAGCATGGGCTTCTCAGGACAGGCCCCAGCCCCATCAAGGACATCTTTTCCCAGCCCCTTCCCCTCCAGAGATGACCATGTAACTACTCGTCGCCAACACAATGTGGGTAAAAGTCACTTCAGGCTGGTACTTTTAAGAAGCACATAGGGGTTCTCTGCTCGCTCTCTGCAGAGGATTCTGTGGCCTTACAGGGTGGCCGAGCCCACACTGGAAGGAGCCTAAACTCCCTACTGACCAGTAATACCCACGCTGAACTGTTCGTGAGACAGAGATTCGTGCTGTGTCACTATACACTGCAGGGAGGTTATTTGTTCCAGGAGCTGCCATGACCCCAGCACGAGACCTCATGGCCGAGTAGCTGACCTCTCGTGCAAGCAGGACCAGCCCTCCCATCTGCACAGGCCACCAGGGCGCTGATTAAACGTTCACTCGGAGAGAAGGGCCTGACCCTTGAGAGGAGTGCGGGGACAGCGCTGAGAAAGCAGGACAAGCACCCAGACAACTGGTCTCCTGTGGGAAGTCTACAAATTGCTGGTGGCCGACGACCATTCCTCCTGCCATGACCTGCCCGTCTCACTGCTCAAACAGCTGTGGGGGCGACAAGCAGGAACTAGGGGCAGGCCAGCTGATAACACGGGTGAAGCCCTCCCTTGGTGGCACGTGGGACCAAGTCTCGGGTCGTCCTCGGTCCTCGTCCTGGCAGGAGACGAAGGCAGCAGACAGCTCCCTACCCAATCTTGCTGGCTGCAGTCTGTCCTCACAGTGGCGCCCCAGTCCTGGCTAAAACCAACACGAATTCACGGCCGACACGAACGCCGAGAAGCTCGAGCCCACTTGTTTACAAGACGAAGCGCCTGCCCCACAAACAGGCCCCTGGGAGCGTCTGGGATGCAGGCCCCGGCTGGCACGGGCCACACCCGGGAGAGCAGGGTCTAAGACGCATGGAGGCACCCGCCGTGGTGACTCACGGCTTCCACCTTCCAGATGCATCTAGACAGCAGCGCCACACCCTCAGCTTTGGTCTGCAATCACGGCCCCGCCGGTGACTCGGCAACATCCCACATGCTCAGTGGGTTCAAGCGAAGGGAGGTCTGCCCACAAAGCCAGCCTCTCAGAAAAAAATAACCTCAATCCAAACAGGCCCTCACCTCCCACACAGTTCCTGCGACTGGAGGCAGTAGGTAAAGTGTGAAGAAAGAGAAGGATCCAACATGGCTCCAAGGGACTGGTCCCCTGTGATCTCTGGTCCCGCTCTTTACGGAGCCAGCAACACCCTCTTCGGCCAAGTTCATTCCTACCACCGAGGACCCTTGCCTCTTACATCTGCAAACTGCTTTATGCTTTCAAAGACCTTCCACTTAGCAAGGAAGGAAGCTGATGGAGGTGAGGAGGGCAGAGTCAGAGGATCAGAGTCCAGCTGCCTGGGTGCGTGGGCCACAACACTCTCTTTCTTCCAAGATTTGTAGGGCCTTTCTGCGCTATCGAATCCCTACCCCAAGAGCATTTCTGATCTGACTAGCCCAGGCTGAGCACCACTGGCTGAGGACAGAGGGGTCCAGCGTGAGCCCTGCCCCTGTAGCACCGAATGCCAAAGTTGGGTCAGTCACTAAGTAAACCCCCCAATGGCTTGCGGTCTTGTCAGAGAGAAGCCAAAGTCCCTCTCGTGGCCTGTGGCTGACTCCTTTGTCCCCACCTCTTGTCTCTCTCCTCGCTCCAGCTCCACTGGCCTCCTTGCTGCTCCCAAAGCATGCCGAGTCCCCTCCTGCTTCAGGAGCTCTGCATGTGCTTTGCAGTCTAGAACGTTCTTCCTGCAGGTCTCTGCTCTCCCCCGCTGCCCACTTCATTCAGGAATCAGCTCAAGGTCATGCTACCAGAGAGCTCCTCCCTACCTAAAATAACACCCTCTCCCACCCCAACCCAGCCCCCGTGTTTTCCATCCTAACACTATCTCATCCCCTGACACAACCTAGGTTTATTTGTTTTCTGTCTTTCCTCACAGAGTCTAAGGGCTGCGACTCTGGACTCTGCTGAGTTCCTGACTCCTAGAAGCATGCTTGGCATACAGCGTGAGCACAGTTAACTACGAGTCCAATGAAAGCCACCCTGGAAAGGGCTCTGGCTCAGCCTGACCACATTCCCCTTGCTTCTAAGTGTCTCTGGGCCAACACGCCTCTCCTCCATCACATTTCTGTGCTGAATCCAGCACCCTCCGGGTGGGAAGACCGAAAGCATCAGACACAGTAAAGCAGCTCATTGTGGACCATCCCAAGCCCCTCCTTACAGGCAGCCTGGGTCTGCAGCATGGCTCAGCTCCCCACCAGAGCAGAGGCCCAGGGCTCTGTGGCCCGTTCTCAATTCGGGCCACGCTCTCTGGAAACGGCAGCCCAGGCTGCCCTCTGCGTCCAGCACTGGCATCTGTACAGGAGGTGGTGGCCCCCTCTGAGCCCCAGCCCTGGCCCCGGATGTACCATTGAGGGATGTGTCGTACGGTTCAGCCTCTTCATAGTAACCCTCTGGAGACTCGATCTTTGGGATGGAGAGCTGTTTCCGTTCTGGAATCTGTGGTATGAACAAATAAACATTTTCAGATAGGATACACTGGGAACGACTTGGAATTAACCCTTTGGGTGGAAGGAGGGGAGTCTAGAAGAAAAAAAAAAATGCCAAGCTGGACTTCAAGCCGGCCGGGAGGGAGACCATGGAATGCCATGGCTCCCATTGGCCATCACGTCCATTGGTTTGTTTCCAGTGGAGGGCCATGGGTGTGTTGCTTAACCTCGCTGTGTCTCAGCGTTCTCATCTGCAAGATGAGGTTCAAACCCCCACCACACACAGAAAATAGCGTTGTATACATGATGTGGAATGCACCGAAAGGTCCAGATGGTGTCAGGCCGTTATGGCTTCTAAATAGCATGTACTTTCTAAAATGACAAGGGCTAATGAAATGCACATGGAGGGAGATGACCAGGGTTCTAAATCCTAAATTTTTACCATAGTAAGTTCAATCGTTTGGTCAGCAAATACTGGATGCTCCCGCACCCCAGCTGTGAGGGGCGCATCCAGATGTTCAGGAGTCAGCCCTGGGGAAGATTCAACTAGGCAGTGAATCTTCAAGGCTCCCCATCAAGTGCATCTTGAGTTGTGTTCTAATAAAGTCAAAGTTCGTGGGAACCCGCAGGGTGTGAGGAACATTCATCACCTAGAGGACACGATCTTTGAGCTGAGTCTCAAAGATGACCCTGAGCTTCTTACGTGGTATAGGGATGAATGAGCACATTTTGAAAAGAAAAAAGAATATATGCAGGTATGTGGAAGCATGAAGCATGAAATCCTCTATTCCTCCATTAGACTATGAAACTAATCTTAGGAGTAATAGCCGGGGAGAACAGAAGAAGTTGATTGGTGCATGAGTATTACTATATACAGGTCATAAATGTGCAAAGATCCATCCACACGAGTGTCTGATGTCTCCCTGAGTCATGCAATCCCTGAGGAGGGCTAAGGGAATATTCATAATGAGAGAACAGAAATGGCAAAATCTGAAATACATTCCGACTTCTGGTTTTGGAAAGTCCTTGTGCAGGGCACTTGGGGGGCTTCAAAGGAAAGCAGTAGAAAGTGGTGGGGGTGGGGAGGAGATGGAAGGAAGGCAGCCAACAGAGAGACCCTGGGCTCAGATGGACCTCTGGGCCTTGGAGGATTCCTTGCCCCGCTGGCAGGAGAAAGGAAGGATCTAGAAACCCCAGCCTCTGCAAATGAGTTTATTTGAGGGATCTACAACAGAGAGAGCTCCCCTGGTCTTGGCCCGGGAGATGGTGGGCGAGCAGTCAGCCTAGGCTGGGGTCCTACTGTCCTATCTGGGAGGAGAGCACGAGGGAGTGTTTCCTGAGAGTCTCCTAAGCTTGACACTGTAAAAAACACCTATAAATGGAGAGGCAGTATAGGGCAGTGGTTGGAATCCGATCTCCAGGGCTAGAGTCTGAATCCTGACACTGGCACATCCAAGCTGTGTGACCCTGGGCAACTTACTTGACTTCTCTGAGCCTCGGTTCCTCCACTGCAAAATGGGGAGAGTAGAAATACCTGCCACATGGGGTCACTGTAAGGATTAAACTCTGCCCAGCACTATTATTCAATACATATGAATTTTTACTAACCTAAAAAACATAAAAGTATTAGTGAAGGGAAAAAGGTCGCCTGTATACATGTTCGGTAGAGGAAGAACAGCCGTCTCCTGAGGAGACGGAGGAGACGTTTGGTGCTGCCCAAGCTGAAGCCCAAGCTCAGCCTCATTAAAGAAGACAGTCCCCGCTCTCAAGGCTGCCGGGACAAAACCTAAGCGCTTGGGTCAAGTTAAAGGATAAAACAATTCCCTCCAAATCCAGAAGAGTCACATAATTACACAGGTGTAATGGTCTGTTCTCCAAAGTCCAAGGAGCGAGAATTGCTCATTGCTCAGGGTTACGAATAAAGGAGCATTATTTTAATTGTCATCATCGTTGTGATGATCCAGGTTGGAGACACTAAATGAAGAGGCGGAAGAGATGTGACTTCACAACCGGAAAGAAGGTTCTGAGAATCTACAAGAAGGGATAGGGAAGAAAGCCACCCTGCTCAGCAGGATTTGCCAGAGGTCTGCAAACTTTATCTGCAAAGGGCCAATAACACATACTTAAGGGATTTGCAGGCCATTTAGAGCCTCTGATCTCAGCTATTCAACTCCGGGACTGCAGAGCAAAAGCATCCATAGATAATACACAACTGAGAAGTATGGCTCTGTTCCAATAAAACTTTATTTACAAAAGCAGTGGCTGTGGATTTGGCCAGGGGGCTACAGTTTGCAAATTCTGATTTAGAGTAGACGTGAGAGCTGAACAAGAGCGGTAGCCCGGATGACCTGAGGAGTCTCTGCAGTTATGAGCAATCTGCCCCAGCGTGCACTGTGGAACATTCTCGGGACAGGGAGAGCAGATCCGGCCAGCCCTAGCTCCCCGGACTGACCATGGCAAGGTCCTTGTGTGGAGTAAGCCGCTTCCCCCATAGAGCAGCTCACTTAAGCCCAGCGCCAACGCATGTTCGGGCCTCAAAGGGGAGCTGGGGTGGAGATGGCTACACAAGCCAGGAGCAGAAACAATGCCAGCGAACATCTGCTTCTCCTACAGTGACCACAGCATCTGGCTGTGCACACAGCTGTCTGAGTCACGACTCACGCCCATGAGGTTGCTCCAGAGCCCTGGTCGCCTCTCGCATTGTCTGCTACCCCACTGCCTCAGTAGGAGACAGAAGGGGACCCAAGCCACCAGAGACAGAATCAGGGCATCCTAAGCCTGTGGCGGAGGCCACCCTCCCAGCCCGGCCACGGGCTCAGAGGACCCCAGGCAGACATCCAGCTTCTGTCTCAGCCCTCAGCAAGCCCGGAGCCAGGCCTCAGGTGTGGACAAGCTTCAGGGCACCCTGAGGCTCTGGGGTCAGGGTGGGAAGGGGCTCGGTTTTCTCTGTCTTGGGAAGAGAGGTTACAAGGTCGCTCCAACCTCACACGGCCCCACTTGCTCCCTCCCTCCCTCCTGCTTTGATTCTCCTCGTCCCACAGAGCCAGGAGACTGAGCTGTTTCCCAGTCCACCCTGACGCTGCCCCTCAGGGGGCTTGGACTAAAGAGTTATGGCTGTGGCCGCTGGACTTGGCCGGAGGAGGCCTGCCGGAGGGCAGGCGTGTGCGTGACGCAGGGGAAGAACTCTCTCTCTGCGCCTTTCCTCACTCTGCCAGTGGGAATCCCCTAGGGTGGGGGTGGGCACCCCAAACAGGGCTGGGAGGGACCCAGAAAGGGCCGCAGTCAGGTCAGCAGCCCTTATCCTTCTCGGCAGAGAAACCCCACAAGGAAGGACGAGGGCAGCGTCAGCTTGCCTCGCTGGAACCCGCCGGGGCCTGGAGTGCGTCCGCAGGAACACCGGCCTCACGTCTGAAGGTCCCTCCAGGGAGGTGTTATTTTGGGGTGACAGTTCTCCCAACTCCAGCACTGGGTTTCTCTGAGGTCAGCACAAGCCTCTTTGGGCCCAGAGTGGCCCCCCACTCACGGCCACCACAAGAAGTCAGTGCTAGGGGAAGGCCAGCGATCACAGGGCCCTTGGGGCTTTTGCATCCATGCCGCAGGGACCCGCAAAGGAGCCGGAAACGCCGGCGCCAGAGCCCCAGCAGCTGCCGGGACAATGATGCTCACTAGGACCCGGTCCCAGCCCCCCAACCGTGTCCACAAAGCGCAGATTTCCAGAGTGAGTCAGCACCACCCAGGACTCGGTGCCCGTGACCCCTGGCCTGGTGGGAGCCTCCCTCAGCAGGTGGTGGCCCAGAAGCTGCTGCCCCAGGTGGGATATGGTAGGTGGCGACGCTTCTTCTGCCCAAGAGCTGAAGGCCCTGATCAGACTCAGTTGCTGAATTCCGGAGAGGAAAGTTCCAGTTCAGAGCAGCCACCTCCCCTCCCTACACCCAGCCAGCAGCACCTGAGACACACCAGAAAAACCATAGCATCGCCCACTGGTTAGCATGGCGGCTACGGGTCTGGCCTGGAGTGGCCACACCCCCTCTCCCCAGTCCTGGGGCTGAAAGTGAGGGGAGCCTGCAGCTGGGAGAACAGAACAGACACCTTCACTCTGCTGCAAAGAAGTGCTTCCGGCAGGCAGGCTGCAGAAGGGCCTGGAGACCAAGAACCTGCATTCAGAAATTGGCCTTGCTCCATTCCAGAGGCAGGCCCTTGGTCGGCTCTTTTAACGGAGCCTCTGGTTCTTCATATGAAAAGTGACAAATGTCCGCACCTCTAGACACATGGTGGGGAGGACCACGTTCGTGTGCACCAGGGCGGCTAGCTGCTCACTGCTCGGGCGTCAGCATAGTGGGGACACCAGGGCTTCAGGCTCAGGCCACCAAGGCTCACCCAGCCTGAGATGAAGAGTCTCTGCCAACTGTCCCCCAGCAGGAGGCCTTCATGCAGTGGGATACTGTGCCAACCGTTCCAGCATTCCAGAACTGCCTACCAGCTGTGAGAGCAGCCCGAGGAGCCCTGCCACCTTCGGGGAGGCCTGGACGGAGGGGGCCAGGCTGGGGTCAGGATGCCCTCAGCAGGGACCTGAGCCCACAGATCTGCCCCTGGATGGCGTGCTAGGAGCTGGAGCTGAACCCAGGACTCTGCTGCCCATAGAAACCCTCCCCACTTCTTGACCCCAGGACCCTGCTACCTATAGAGATCCTTCCCATTTCTCACCTCATACCTCTCAGGAAACCTCCCTGACCAGGTCCTAGACAGGAAAGAACTTGGATTCAAATTCTGATTCTGGCACTTTCTGTGTGTGCAACATTCAGACGCTATAAACCTGCCGATTCTTGGTTTCCTCACCCATTAGATATAAACACTGCTGCCCACCTCCCTGAATGCTGACCTAGCACACTATGCATAGCCTTCACCTGTCAAATAAGACGATCTTAGGAGACAGGTTCACATTCTTTTATTTTTTTTTTATTTTTTTTTTTTAAATGTTTTATTTATTTATTCATGAGAGTCAGAGAGAGAGAGAGAGGCAGAGGCAGAGGGAGAAGCAGGCTCCCTGCCTAGCAGGGAGCCCGATGTGGGACTCGATCCCAGGACCCTGGGATCATGACCTGAGCCGAAGGCAGACGCTTAACCATCTGAGCCACCCAGGCACCCAGGTTCACATTCTTTTAAACACCAGGAAACAAAGGGCCAGAGACCTTAAATGACTTGCTCAAGGTCAAAGAGCTAGTACCTGGCAGAACTGGGATCTGAGCCCAGATCTGTAGGGTTCCTTAATTCATTCCGTCCACCCATCCATCCATGAACAAATACATGTGTATGGCCTACTGTGTGCAGACACAGGCCACGAAGCAGTAAACGAGAGACACTCTCCCTGTCCTGGGAAGCTTACATCTAGTCTGGGAGGCAAATAATACAAAGACTGTTATGACGGTGGCAAGTGCCATGGAGGCGTCATTGGTCATGGGGCAGGCAGTAACTGGGGTAGGAACGGAGGTGTGATGTCTCGTGCAGCAGGTCAAGGAAAGCCTGTCTGTCAAAGTCTGAGAGATGAGGAGGTGGCAGCCACTGGAAAGCCAGGGTCCAGAAAGCACTAAGTCCCTAAGGCAACATCGACCATGCGGTCCAATCCACGAACGGGAGGCCAGCGAAGAGCAGGTGCACTGAGGCGGGAGATGCAGCCGGGCCAGGCTGTGGAGACCGTGTAGGCTGTGGGGCTGGGTTAAGGAACATTGGATTTTTTTTTCCCCTAAGTTCAAGGAAAGCCTTTGGCCGGTTTGAAGCAGGAAGTGCGAGGTGATATGATGTACGTTTCTAGAAGTTCGCTGTGGCCTGAGCTGGTGACCACAGCTAGACATGGCCCCCCTCACATGGTGCTGGACAGACCTTGGCAGCCTCCAACACGTGGCGGCATTTGATGAAGGCAGCGAACTCCCTGCATCTCCCATTCCCGTTAGCCTTAGTGTCCCGAGTACTGTGGCCCTGGGCCAAGGATGTCACCTGCAGGCAGGCATCCTTCTGTTCTCTCTCCCCCAGTGCCCCGCCCCATGTCCTGCACACAGTACGTGTGCACACAGTAGGTGCTCAGAAAATGCCAGCTACTTGGGGGACTGACTCCTGTGAAAACAACTGGAAGTTCACAGGGGCCCCAGTCAGGAAATCAGGGGTCTCAGATGAACACTTACGATCTTGGGCGGCGGGAGGTCTGGAAGACTCTTCTGAGGGGCCAAAGAGTGCTGGCCAGGCTCCCCGTTGGTCAGTGGGTTCTGCTCCTCGGCTGCTGTGGGCAGCAAACAGGAGAAGGCTTTGGTGAGGGGTGCCCAGGCTCACAGCAGGGCCCATTATCCTGGAATGTCTGGCCACATGGACCCTGAGATCTATTTGAGAAGGTGTTAATTACCCAGGCGGGCGGCCCCAGGGAAAACCCAATGTGGTTTTCCCTCCGAGAATAGGGTGCAAGTGGTGCCTCAGCCATGGGCAGATTCCTCAGAAGGAACGGGTTTGGGGTTTCTGGCAGGCTCCACACCCTCTCTTCCGCTTGCCTTGTGCCAAAAATGGCCCAGCCGCGGAGCGTTAGCGAGCAGAGAAGCTGCCCTGTGGTCGTTATATCGAGCAGCTCCCAGCACCAACCCTGTGATTCCAGCTCCTTCCATCCCAGTTTCCCCAGAAGGCAAACGACCCTGGGCACAGGGGCAGCTTGCATTGGGTCACTTCTGCTGGGTCCCAGGCTTGGCAGTGGAACGGGAGGTGCCGAAGCCCCACTGGAGAACTCGGCCACCAGCCCTCCGTGTGCTTTTAAGGAAAAGGCTCCGGAGGCTCTTCTGAGCCTGACCGTTTCAGCCAGTGGCCCAGCCAGCCCCAGGACAGACAGACTCAGATGGATCTGGCCTCGGGGCTTTGGTGGCTGGGATCCTGAAGCCAAGCCTTGAACAGGACCGAGTGCCTTGGAGCACTGCATCCGCACCTCTTGCTAAGCCTCTGCATTTTGGCCACAGGCTGGGGAGTTGGGAGATGGAGCTTCTAATCCCCTCTCCTCTGCAACGAGGCAGCTCTGCAAACCTCTGGGTCTCCCTGAGGTCCTGCCAGACCCACTCCTGAAGGTTTTCAGAGAAAAGGAGAGCAGAACAGAGCAGAAGAGGAAGACATCATGGAAGACATAGTATGTCCTTCTGACGTAAGGTATAATGTTCTGCCAAGAGAGCACCGTTGAGCAAAACTTTTGAATATTAAGGCAGGCGCTAACACCAGCACTTCCATCTTCTATTACCGCCCCCCCCAACACACATAAAACCCAGACTTCTATCAAAAGATAAAAAGCTGGGGCGTGGAATCAGCACCATACAACGGCTGTTTCCCTAGAACATCTGACTATGACTTCCTACTCCCGGGATGATGCTGGGGAAAGCAGAGAGACTTTAGGGCCAGATTCCTTATCCACGAAGGGGACATGAGACCTTTAAGAGGCAAGGAGGTGGCTTGATGAAATATCCCAAAATACATCAACCCAAAATACCATCAACCAAAATATGAGTGCCAGAAATAACTCCACTGGGCTGTCTGGTGCTGGCTCGGAGGAAGGGGGGGGGGATGGGACCAAAGCTGATGCGGGCCCCTCCCAGAAGCTGGCCGAGCCACCAGCAGGGCCAGCCTGTACCTTTGTCTTGGGACTCCAAATTCTGTTGCTTGTTGACGGTCACTTTGTTCATATAAATGTACTCCTCGTCAGAACCTGCAGAGGAAGGTTGGAAGACAAAGGTTTCATGTGATTCCACAACGGGAAATGGCTTTTAGAGAGAAACAGTGTCCCCCGAGACACTGTCATTAGCCGGGGTTCCAGTAAAAGGATACAACATTTTGACTTGATTGAAAGAGTCCATTATGGAGTTGACAAATTTCCAAAAACAGAAATGCCGAGTTGCTGACTATTAGTTTCCTAACTTGGGGGTGGGGGCCGTGGGGGAGGGGAGGGAAAAGATACAGAAGGATAGCTTCAGGATTAAAAGTCTAAGTGGAAAGGCAACCGCACCTCGAAGATTTGCCCCATATTCCACCAAGCAGATTTCTTTGGATTGCCTAGCATTTCATTTAAATTGTAAAATATTTCTGGCGATTTTATTTATTCATCTGAGAGACAGAGAGAGACCATGAGCAGGGGGAGAGGCAGAGGCAGAAGGAGAAGCAGACTCCCGGCTGAGCTGGGAGCCCCATGTGGGGCTTGATTCCAGGACCTGGAGATCACGACCTGAGTTGAACGCAGATGCTTAACCATCTGAGCCACCCAGGTGCCCCTAAATAAAGAAATCTTTAAAAAAAAAAAAGAAAAGAAATTGTAAAATATTTCATATCCGTCATTCTCACCCTAGTCTGGGTTACTTGCTTGGGCTCATCAGAGTGATGTCTCTGTAAGGTAGGTCACACTGAGGATCTGGAAATTTAGTTCCCATGCCATTGTGGGGGCCTGAGACCCCCAAATCCAAACCCCTCTGGGTTTGGAGGGGTAAGTGTGCTGGGAATTGAAAGTGGAGCTCTGCCAGGCACCTGCTCTACCCTGTAGATTGCACCTTATGGCAGCACAGCCCTTCCCTCTTTTAAAATCTTTTTTTTTTTTTTAAAGATTTTATTTATTCATTTGACAGAGAGAAAGAGAGACAGAGAGAGAGAGAGCATGCACAAGCAGGGGTAGGGGCGGAGGGAGAGGGAGAAGCAGACTCCCCACTGAGCTGGGAGCCCGACACGGGGCTCGATCCCAGGACCCTGGGATCGTGACTTGAGCCAAAGTCAGGCAGTTAACCGACTGACCCACCCAAGCGCCCCTAAAATCATTTCTGTGTAGGCTACCTTTCCAGCACCTGTCTGGGCAGAGAAATGTTAGTCTCCCAACACTGCTCAGTTTCTTATGCCCCAAAGACCCTTTCTTCAGAAGACTGCAGACGAAGCTCATCCTAACTCTTCTCCTCTTAGAAATCCTCCTGCATTTCTTTTTTTGCCCTTAATTTGCACTTCCTAGAAACATGTGGCTCCACTAGTTTGAGACTGTGTTAACCAGCAAGGGGACCCATTCAAACCTGGGTAAAGAAGGCAGTTCAATGTCAGACCTATACCACAGACCGCCCAGCCTCCAGCCCAAAGGCCTGCAAAAACAGAGCCCTGAAAACCCAGAACACGGGGAGGACACAGCCAGAGGGGTCTTCTGCCCTCAGCCTGCGGGATCACCACCCCAGTGCCCGGCCCTGCCAGGACCCGTCAGCAACATCACCCCATCCTGCAGCAGTTCATAGGAAGGAACTATGAGGTCTAATGTAGTTAGCCACAACTGGTATCCTTCCACTGAGTGAGAGCCAGAGGGGCCAGGTCAGTACTTTCTCCAGAGGAGAGCACACAAGAATAGTGCCCTGCACGGGTGGGCAGCGAGCTCTGCCATTAATCGTGTAATTCTGAGCAAAACAGCTATGCCACGTGCCTTGTCTGCCTAGCATTTGTGAAAAACAATTGTGATGCACATTGCCTGTTTTTACCAAACTCTTAAGTTTCCAAGGGTACAAAACTCAAATGTTAAGGAACTTGAAAAAGTTAACCCTATAACTAACGAAGATTAAAAATGACAGCCTAAACCATGGAGAAGGGCTCAAAGGCTCGATTATGGGAAAAGTTGAAAAAAAAATCACACATCAACATGTATAACAACAGTCACCTTTAAAAATAAATGGATTACTAGAGAGTGTGTAAACTGGCACAGACATTTTGGAGGATAATTTAAGTGTTCATATTTTTTTTTTTAAGTGTTCATCGTCTTTAACCCAGCATTTCCACTGCCAGAAATTTGTTCTAAAGAAAAACTCCAGCATGTAAACAAAATCTTATTTGAGGATGTTTATTGTAAGGTTGTATGAGTTTTTTTTTTTTTTTAAGATTTTATTTATTTGAGAGAGAAGGACAGAGAGCATGAGTGAGGGGGTGGGGTGGAGGGAGAGGGAGAAGCAGACTCCCTGCTGAGCAGGGCGCCAGACACAGGGCTCGATCCCAGGACCCGGAGATCATGACCTGAGCTGAAGGCAGATGCCGAATCAGCTGAGCTATCCAGGTGCCCCTGTATGAGGATTTTTTTTTAAATTACAAAACCTAATGCCACTAATCACTGTTCATCCATCCGTGGATACTACCGAACTGTGAAAAATAACAAAGAAGCTCTATGTCCACTATTACAGAGATATCTAAGACTTACAGTTGAATCATGTTTCACAATAGCAAAAAAAAAGTAGGGGAACTGTCAGCACATGGAAATGTGCACAGGAAGCAATTCTAAATGTAAAAATAATGTAAAGCAGAATACAGAGGCAAACCACGACTACATAAAAATATTCGGATGATCCCGATAAAGATCAAAATAGGAACTGAAAGAATGTAAATAGTGCAATGTTCATCTTATGTTCATTTATTTTTTTCTTACTTTTGACCAAGCCCACGCTCCTGTAAAAAGGAAAAAGAAAAAGGCAAGATATTATTATTATTGTTTTAACTGTTAGATTCTGGGCAGGTGCTTCCTCCCCAAGATGGCAGCTTGTAAAATGCAGAGAAAATGAGCACCACCAGCGACTTGCCAAGGCTGCGATTCCCGCCTTGGGCACTTTGCTGCAGGCCATGGTTGGTCAGGCTTTGATTCTCAGGGTGCTAATTCAGGACCATCTAGGTTGGTAAGTAAGAGGCTCCCAGAACCATCTGCAATCCTGGGAAATGCCCAGTGAACTTGGCCCTATAATGGGAGACTGCTGAGCTGTCCCATGTCTGGGAGGCAGTAGCCTTGGGTTGGAGAATTTTCTATCATTCTCTCATTCATTTTCGGAAGTGCACTGAGCACCCAGCACTATACAAGGTGCTGGGGATACAGCACAGAATGAAATAGAAGACACTGTCTCTACCTTTATAAGCTCAAAATTGGTGGGGGAAACAGATGCCCATGGGATAGTTAACACAAGCATGTGGGGAATGACAACAGGGATGGTTGGAAAGGAGAGCTCAACATGCTCCGCGTAAGCATATGGCTCCTGGGGAATGGCCCTTGTGTGCAGGGCGTGGTCCTTCCTAGAGAACTGGATGAGGAGTCAGGAGGAGGGACAGGGACCCTCTTTGCTACAGTTGGATAGACAGAACATCAGCAGCTTTTCCCATCTGAGGGGCACCCCCCCCGTCGCCCCGCCACCGACACTTTCCCAGAGTCTCTGAGCAGGGCACTGGGAGACCCACGGCCCTCTCAGGTGAAAACAGGGAACAAATAATAGGCTCCTGATAAACAAACCTCAAACCCTGCCTTGACCATCCAGATGAAAGGCAAAGAGAATAGAAAATTCTCATTGCGCTCATACGATAAAAGATCAGAAAACCCAAATGGACAATTTGAAAAGGGTAAACACAAATACACACACACACTCTCTCTCTCTACCTCTCTCTCATGCTCTGCCCAAAATGTGTGGGAGTAAACAACAGCTCAGCCAATGCAGACCACAGACTATCTCAAAATGATCAGCCTGCCTCCACCTACAAGTCCCATCAAGCTGAGCTGATTTTCTGGAACATATACAGCAGGACAGGCCTGGGAGACTGAGAAGGAAGACAAATGCTTTGATTTCAGGGGGGCTTTGGATTCTGTCCTGTGTAGCGCAATTCCTGCTGGTGCAGGTGAATCTGGAACGTGGGGCGCTGAGGGGAGTAGAGCTGTGAGGGCCGCCTGCCCACGCCCGAGCCCTGGCTTTGCCACTCACAGCCGTGTGCCTTGAAGAAGTGACTCTGCAAATCCTCCACGCTCTTGTGGAGAAGATGAGGACAACATCTCTCTCGCTGACGTGGGACGGGAACTAGGTGGCATCATCCACCTCCTACGTTAAGCCCCGTGCTAGGACAGAGGATGTGCACAAAAGCTGTTAGCTGTTGCTCTAACCACTGTGCTGGCGAAGAGAGCACGGAGAGGACCAGAATGGACACCAGCCTTGAGAACAGGAGGGGCGGCCACGGGTCTCGGTAAGGCTGTGCACGTACTTCCGGTGGTCTGAGTGGTGCACTGTGGGCAATTCACGTTGGGACGCCTCCTGCAAGTTGCGAGGGTGGGGTGAGGGCCTGACTTTATCAGTGCAGAACATGCAAAGATCTGGGGTGAAACAAAGGTCATCCTACAGGAAGCTACACAGCACATAAACCCAAAGAGGGGACCCCACCCAGGGGGCCCAGAGAGAGTGATCAGAACCAAGAACCAGGGGTTGGAGCCCATCCCATGGGTCTTCCAGTTCCCAACGGAGGTGTTGTCTAGCATTAAACATCCCAAGTCGGAGCACATCCAAACGGTCAGTCAGGGAGTGTGCTTCTTAAAGAGTTGTACTCATAGATCCTGACTCATCTCTGACTCACCCGCTCTGTAATGTGCATTTCCCACCTAGCCTTCCCACCTCTGATGCGCTGCTGACCAGCCATGGAGCCGGGAGGAGCCTGGGAACCCCGGGGTGGCCGGGAGAATGGCAAAGGCCCCAGATGGGCTCCAGGAAAATGCCCCTCACGGAAGGCTAAGAGAGCCAGCTCGTCCTGCAGAGGACAAGGCTGCCGGGCAGAAGGCAGCATACCTCAGCATTAGGACTTCTGTCTCACTCAGAGAATACAAACTAGTTCCACAGGGAACAAAGAAAAGGAAAAGCGACCCTGAAACGTAGCACGGTGGGTCCAGGCTGGACGTGAGGGAGAATCTCCTGGCGGCGAGGGCTGCAGACAGCCGACTTCCCTCCTCGGGGTGCATTTTGGCTGCTCCTGCCGCCAGGCAGAGGGATCAGATGCCCTCTTATGGTCCCTCACTGTCCCAAAATATCACTTCCAATTCTCAGACATCCGACATAAAAATAGACTCAACTAAACTGTCAGGACTTCACAAGGCTTTTTTTAAAAAAGAAAATCTGAGTGTGCTGGAAATGGAACCATATGCCCGCAAGAAGGCTTGTGCAAGGACGTTCAAAGCAGCCTTGTTACTCATCACAGCCCAAACCCGTGAACACCACGCAGGCATGGTGGGAGAAATCAGAACAACGGCTACGTTGGGGTGAGGGTGGGGGCGGGGAGGAATTTGCTGGGAAGGGGCAAGAAAGAACTTTCCGGAATGATAAAAATGTTCTGTCTTGTTTTGGGTGGTAGGTACACAGGTGTATACAATTGTCAAAACTCACTGGATTGAATGCTTAAGATCTACGTACTTGAGTGTATATAAAATCTCCCTCAATAAAAAGGACAGGAAAAAAAAAAAACAAAACCCTATGCACTCAAGAGTTCTGTGCGCTACAGCTTTAAAACTACATTTTCCTTTGGGCCACAGGACATGGGGCAAGTGATTTCAATTCTCCAGACCTCATCTGTAACAACAGCACCAACCTCAGAGGGGTGACTTGAAGATGAAACAAGTTAATACGTGTGCAGGTAGGAAATGCTCAGTTAAGCGTTGGCTCTTATTCGAACTGTTTATTAGCCCTTCTCTCCTTTGAACGAGTAAGGAGAAGTGCTTCGAAAACACTTTAAAACCACACTCAGGGCTGCCGTGCTGAGTGTTCAGAGATGTCTGGGGCCCGCATCCAGGTCACATCACTCCTGCACTATCGTGATGGGCTGAGCTGCGTTCCCCTCCCCCACCGCCCAAATTCATCTACGAAGTCCTCGCCCTGGATAGCTCAGAATGTGACTCTGGTAGGAGAAGGGGTCATTAAAGAGGTAATCAACATTAAAGGAGGCCACCAGGGTGGGCCCCGATCCAACATGACTGGTATTCTTGTACGAAGCGGAGATTTGGACACGCACACAGACGGAAGATGCTGTGAAGCCCCAGACAGAAGGCAGCCATCTACAGCCAGAGACGGAGGCCCCTGAAGGAAGCCACCCTGTCCAAAGCCTTGATCTCAGATTTCTGGCCTCCAGAACTCTGAGAAAACAAATTTCTATTGTTTAAGCCGCCCCGTCGAGGGGACCCTGTTGTGGCAGCCCGAGTGTGACTATCTTTCTGTTTCCATGCAGACCTCTCTGAGGCCCCCGGGCCACACTTACTGCTGCTTTTGGTGTAAAGCCGGAGGAGCTCAGCCAGGCTGCTCTTCTTCACCACAGCTGTGCTGCTCAGGTTCTCCTGGTCGAGAATCTTGAGGAAGTCATCCAGCTCTGTCAACAGCTGCTCCAGGGCTAGAGACAGAAAAGAGAAGAACCCTTTATAGTCGCTGCCTTCCCTCCAAAGGGCCAGCTCAGATACACCTCCAGATCCTGCATCACCTCACCATGGGCCCTGTGGTCCTGAGGGGGAGGGAGTGGGGGAAGGCCTGGAAGCCCCTGGGGGCCCAGCCAAAAGGTGGGATTCCCGGGGAGAAGAAAACAGGCCCTTGGTTTTGAGATGGATAACCTTGGCTGAAGCTGCAGGTCTACCATTTGCTAGAGTGACAGTGGCCAGACAGCCCAGTCGAGCCCATCAAGCCATGAGAGTCTGGAAACAGGATCGCTTCCTTGATCAAAAGTCAATCAGGACAGCTCAGGGTCTGGAGAACCTGAACACAGATCAAACCTATAACCATCAAAAGAAATGCTGTGGTTGACCCAATCGTTCATCCTTTCCCCAAGGACAAGGAAACAGAGTCACTCCAAGGAGATTCAACAGTGATTATGCTGCCCCTGAAGAAATATGGATGACCCATCATAAGCCATGGCTGGGCAAACAGAACCTTCCTGAGTTTCTTCAGTAAATAAGCCACTTCAACTGAAACTGAGTCCAGCATCACTCTCAAGCTGGCTAAGGGCTCTGGTCCCATGGATTCACGGTATCAAACTGGCTCCACCATTGTAGAAGTGCTTGTCAGTTTCTCACTGGAACCACCTTACAGAGATGCTAGTGCAGAGGACAACAGTGGAGGTGCCGGGCATTCACCACTGTTGTTGTCGCTGTTTGGGTTTTTTTGTTTTGTTTTTTGGGTTTTTTAAAGATTTTTATTTATTTGAGAGAGGGAGAGAGAGCGAGAGACAGAGCACAAGAAGGGGGGAGAGAGAGAAGCAGACTCCCCACTGAGCAGGGAGTCCGACACAGGGCTCGATCCTAGGACCCTGGGATCATGACCTGAGCCAAAGGCAGACACTTAACCGACTGAGCCCCCCGGGCGCCCCTGTTGTTGCTATTTGTGATCTAATCTCCCCTAAGAACAGGACGCTGCATTTGCTTGGCTCTGCTGCCCAGCTGGCTCTCCAGAACATGCTCAGGAATGGCAGCCAGCTCCTTGAGGTTCTGTGCTGTGCTTTCCAAACCTGGCTGCATGGGGTCACCTGGAGAGTTTTAAAAAAATCCTGATACCCAAGCCATGCCCTAGATTGATGATATCAGAATCTCTGGGAGTAGAACCCAGGAATCAGTTGGTAGTTTGTTTTTTGTTTTTAAGATTTATTTATTTGAGACAGACAGACAGACAGAATAGGGGCAAAGGGAGAGAGAATCCCAAGTAGACTCCACACAGAGTGCAGAGCCCGATGTGGGGCTCGATCTCACCACCCTGAGATCAGGACCTGAGCAGAAACTAAGAGTCGGATGCTTAACCAACACCGCCACCCAGACGCCCCAGGAATCAGTAGTTCTTAAGCCTCCTCGGGTGATTCCAGTGTGCAGCCAACACTGAGAACTGTGGGTCTAGATGCAGTGCCAGAGCCCACACCTGAGGGCCCTGCTCCCGAAGAGAGCAGAAGTCCTGACTGGTCCTGTACCACCTGCTGTGGGAACGCTGAGCAGACACACAATCTCTCCAAGCTCGTGTCCTCACCTGGAAAGTGGAGAATGCCATGTAGGCCCTGCCCATTTCACAAAGTTATAAACACAAATGACAAAATCTATTAGCTCCATGAGAAGACCACAGCTGTCCTACACCTTTGGCACCTATACTGTGTTGAATGAATGTTTATGGAATGAACGAATAAATGAATGACTTCATTAGGCACCTGCTAGTTCACAAGTTGAAGAGTTAAGCATGGTTATGCCCATTTTGTAGACAGGGGTCTGAGGGCCCAGAAAAGGCCCAGAAGGTCCCACATGGCTCATGGTAGAGAGCTCGCCTGCTGTCTGACTCTTAAGACTGAGCTACTGGCAACACCCCACTGGATGCCTCCATCCATGTAGGGCATTCTTCCAACATCCCCCAAAAGCCTAGCTCCCTAGAATTGAACAAGAGCCCCAGATTATCCCCCTACCCCCTTCATTAGAAAAAGAAGCCCTCATACTTTCCTGGTTCTAAGGGAGAGCCCAGAGGCCTCTTTCTGTTCAAACACCTCCTTGGACCTCATTTTGGTAGTAGCCTTTGAACCCCATTGCTACAAAATCAAACTCCCTGGAATGAGTACTGCCATCGCTGTGGGAGAGCTGGAGGAAGGGAAGGGGGTGAGGATTTGCTTGCTTCAGAGGAGGGCAGTGCCAGCCCGTGTGACGATCCGATCAAACACGGGGGTCAGCCAGCACGCCCACATGGGTGTGTACTGCCTTGCGTCATGAGAGCGCTCTCTTGCTAGCAGGGGTACCCCCGAAGGAAACTCCAGTTTGCCAAAGCCGGAGAAGCAGCAGAGAATCCTCCACTCTCCCTCTCAGGGTCCTGGTAAAGGATGAAGAATGAAGCAAGCTCCACGGAGGTCTAGCATCCACTCCTCTGTGGCTTGTCAAAAGCCAAGTGAAGGTAAAATGCAGCCAGCAGCTCAGAGGCTGCATGTGGTCAGTGGTGGCTTGGCTCCCATGCCTGGAGGCGGGTTGGAAGGTGGCCCTCGTCTCTGCCAGTGACGAGATGGATAGATGGTGAGTGAGAGCCAAGATGAGGCAAGAAGGAAGCCACGTTTGGGTAGTTCTGCCTGGGAAAGGGCCCTGGGCCAACAGCAGAGTCTCTTGCCCTGTTCCTCAGTATTGAGAAGAGTGGGTTTCCAAGAAGCCAATGGCTTTTGCCTGGTCTACTTAAAACCAGACTCTTAATGGAGTGGGATTTGAAAGGGCACCAGCAAGAGCTCCCAAAGCCCACCAATCAAGACCATGGGACCCCAGGATGTGCCCAGCACTTAGCTGGGCCCTCGGCCTCAACCAACCAGGAAATTAAAATGGAGATCAGGACAGGGTGGTTCTTGCCTTATGCAAGCTCAGAGGCAGAACAAGACCAGCCCAAGGGAAGAGATTTACAGACCAAGGCAAACCACCAAAAATTCACACCAAAAAGTGTGAGAGGAGATCAGGCAAGAATCCTAGGCCTGGAAGGCTTCTGGGAAGAGGTGCAGTAGGGTAAGGCCTTAGGCTGTTTTTGTTTGGTTTTGAGTATTTTTTTGAACAGCTATTCATGACTTTCCTGTTGGCTGCAGGAACTCGACAGGCTAAAAAGCAGTGAATTTAAATAAGTCAAAGCAGGGAAAACAAAGGCTAAATCTGAGGAAATGACACCGAGCCTTGAACTCGGCTACAGGGGATGTGGAAAAGTGAACGGGCCTTGCAGAGCAGCTAGGATCTCAAGCTGTGCTTTTCCTGACCTTCTGAACCCTTCCAGGCTGTTAATGCTGCTACTTCCGCTTACAAAAAAGAAAAAAGCACGAAAACTCCAGTGTCTCTTCAGTTTCACATCCTCAGCTATTCCCCAAAGCTGCCTGATTCCTGGAAAACAGCTTTAGTTTATTTTCAAGCAAGCAAATATGTACTGGGCCAAAGGATAAAGAGTATCATGCCTACTTCTGGGGAGACAAAGTTGACCCAGATGGGGTCCCCCAGCCTCTCCAGGAGCTCCGTGTCTGGGGAGGGGGGCCCAGTGAATACACAGGGTGAGCAGAGGAGTGATTCAGGAATGTGTCCAAGGATCAGGAAGGTGCCACAAGACAAACTCGGGGCTTATCTGCAAGAGGAATTTGTAAGCTGGCCACTGAGGATGCATAGGAGTTTCCTGGGAGGAGGCAGAGGCATTTTAGGAAAAGGGAAAGAGATGTTCAGACAACTCAAGAACTGAAAGCATACGGGGTATTCAAGAAACCACAGGTCTCTCTGTACATCGAGACACACAGGGCATGGAGGGCAGGTGGATGGCGCATGGGGGTGCGGATGGCGGGTTCCGAGGCCAGAACTGTGACATTAGATCAGGCAGGCAGACCATAAAGGCTTGATTTGCTTTGCTGAGTCCATGCCTTATCCCGCAGGACCTCTAGGCAATGCCGTGGGAGGGCCATGCACAAGGTTCTTCCAACAGCCTGGAGATCAAATAACTCTGCCAACAGTAGGGAGGACAATGGAAGCGCACCAGGGGACCAGGAGGGGAGGCAAGGGCGGGCAGGGGACCATTATCAGTGCAGATGAGAATGACGAGGGTGTGACCTAATCATGGCGTCCGGGGGCCACGCAGGACGCTGCACCCCATCACTCCCAATTCTCCCAACCACCCTGCAAGCACACGGCAAGGGAACGGGCTCTTGAGGCCCATATCCACAGTTAGTAGTGGCTCTGGGGCTCAAATCCAAGTACGCCCAAGTCCCTCGGCTGGAGCCATTCCCAAGAAGTCAGGGAGGTTTATCTGGATCATGACCCGTCTCCTGTTCCACCATGCTTGGCAAAGGGACAGTGGGGGGCTCTAGATGAGTAGTATGGAGAGGCAAGGGGATAATTCCATGAGATGCAGGGACTTAAGATGCCCTGAGTGACGGAGAACTGCAGAATGCCATCAGACACAGGCCTGTGGTCCTGTGGGAACCGACAGGCCAGGCAGACGGGTGGTGGTGGGGGGAGCATCAAGAAAGCAGAGACGCCCCTCATTCTTCCTCTTAAAACAGCTGTGCTAGGTGAAGGGTAAGAACCAGAGCTGAAGAAACACAGGACCAGGACCCCGAGTCACAAAGCCAGGATGTCCCTTCTGTCCCTCTCTAGCTCTGCATCCAGAGCGGCCCACGACCAGCAGCAATCACCTTCTGCCTCCTGACATTTCTCCCTGCCAAAGCCAGTTCACGGGCATCTCCATGTGAGCCCGGTCTGTATTCCCGGCTGCGCAGGAGCACTTCCCGGTCGAGGGTCAGCCTTTGCAGAAACGTCTGGGGCTCTGACAAGGTGCTAAGCACAGCAGAGACCAGGGATGTGCTAAGCACAGCAGAGACCAGGGATTCTCTTCTGGTTGTATCCTTTCAGGCCTAGCTCCCAGACTCTCGGAAATAACAATCAACAAAAGCAGGGCCCTCATTTGTGCCAACCCTGGTGACATTTTTCAGCCCTCAGAGCTTGGAGGAATGTGGCCATTTCATTGAGGCTCTGGAAGGCACCCGTCCCATTTCCCTCCCCCCCCCAACACCTCCCCCTTCTCATTTTGGTCTCTCTCTCGTCCTCCAGCAGAGGGAGGGAAAAATAAGTGTGTTGTTCATTCTGGAAACTGTAGGCCCTTGTGCAGGCTTTCCATCCTGGCTCTGTTAAAGTTCAGAGTTGTCTGCTCAGGGTCTGACAAATCATCAATAAGATTCTTGTTCGGGGCTTCCAAGGCCCACGCAGAGCTGGGCGGTTCAACTGCTCGATTCATTGCCCTCGGCCATGGCCAAGCTCTGCCTCCAGATGACCTCCTCCCCCGGTTTTTCTCATCTCGAGGCAGTCTTGCTTTTTGGTCACTAGGTTCCCAACCATAAATGTCTTCCCAACATGCCGAAAAAGCTGTTCTTCATGGTTCCCCTGCTGTTTTATGTGCACATTTTTATTTATTCAGCTGCATTTGCTGAAGACCTGTGATTGAGCATGATTTTCCTTCCAAACATGAAACTAAACAGACTTCTTAAGTATAAAGACATGTATCTCGCTCCTTGCTCCAACAGTTCCCAAGATGGAGCCACTGGGCATATTACCCGTGCGAACCCAACTGCTGGGGACCAACCACAGTGAAGAATGTGGGAGAAGTTTCTGTGATGAGCAACAGCACCACGTAGTTGCAACCGAGGGCAGAAAATGCCGAGTCCCTTCCTCCCGATCACAGATGAAGCCTCAAGTTCTCAAGAATGAGCTTTTGGAAAACATGCCCCTTTGTTCCACCTCAGAAGGGACACATCAGGCCGAAGTCTCCTTTCTTCACAAGTGCCACGTGCCAAGCCAGCCTTTGCCAAGCACCTGCTGAGTGCCTGGCATGTTAATAAGTGGCTTTTCTTCTTTGTTTTTTTATGGTGGCAACAGACGCATAACATAAACTTTACCATTTTAATGACTTTGAAGTGTTCAAATTAATGGCAGTAAGTACGCTGACAATGGCATCCTTATGGATTTGCCAATTCTAGATATTTCACATAGATGGAGTCGCGGAATAGGTGTCCTTCTGTGGAATGGCTTCTTTCATGGTGTGTAACAATTTCAAGGTTCATTCACCCTGTGGCTTCTAGCAATATTTCATTCCTTCTCCTCCCCTGGCAACCTGCATAGCCTTTGGGGTCTGAGTCCTTTTCCTTAACATAAATCACGTGAGATTTATCTATGTTGTTGCATGGATGAGAAGTTTGCTCTTTTTGATTGCTGTGCGGTATTCCATCGTATGGATGTAGGAAGCCCAAATGTCTCCATGGATCCACATATCTCCTCTGCCAGGTGCTTCTGCAAGCACAGCAGGGTCCTGTGTCCTGACCCCGGTTTGTCACGCTCCGGAAAGCACCTTCCTGCTGACTTGAAAGAGTATGCCTGCATTTAGTACACTTAATACACTTAATGCCCACTCAGGGGCACGGCTACAAATGGAAAAGCAGTGATTTTCTTCACAATGGCTACACAACGGAATCACCTGGGAAGTTAAAAAAAAAAAATCCTGTTGCCTGCGTCCACCCCCCA